ATGTGAGTACCCCCTCCACCCCCCCCCCCCCCACGGGCCCAAATTCATTGAAAATCCATGGATACAACACTAAACATAACTCTAACCATAAATCTAACCCTTAATCTAAACATAACCTCTAACCCTATTGAAACCCTTACCTTAACCTTTACTTTGACGTATGTCGCATCACCAGATTCATGATACCATATCAAATGCGCGGGGATGGGGGTAGTTTTAAAGTTGTAATTCTTTCTATTCTATTTATGAAAATGGGCCTCCCGTCCTTAAAAATTGTGGTAAGATATAGATCATATCCTGCTGTAGCCAAACGTAATGCACACGTCTTTGTGAGGTGCCTCGCTACAAATTATTTCATTTACCTGTTACAAATAATTGTATTTCAATAGAATACAAACTGCATACAATCCGTGTCGTAAGGCATTATAAGTTAAATACATTACGAAAATAGCTTTTTCGCTGACAGTATATTGACCGCGATGCTGAGGTCAATGGAGCATGCCATAACAGAATGAAACAAAAAATATTTTGTCAATAGATGGCGTATTTCAATTTAACTTTCGTCATGATTGAGATGAGTTGTGTGACGATTAGGGGAAAAAGGTACGTTACTCTTTATCCCACCCATTTCCCCCAAGCCATGTCTCTCTCTCTCTCTCTCTCTCTCTCTCTCTCTCTCTCTCTCTCTCTCTCTCTCTCTCTCTCTCTCTCATACACTCTCTCTCTATTTCTCTCTCTCTCTCTCTCTCTCTCTTATCCCTCTATCTTTCTCTATCTTTCTCTATCTTTCTCTATCTTTCTCTATCTTTCTCTATCTTTGTCTCTTTGTCTCTTTGTCTCTTCCTCAGTCTGTCTCTCCCTACCTGCCTAGCTGTTAGTTATCAGTTAGGCCGATCATTTTATTAATTCACGCATGATCTGCAATCCGCAATCAATTAGTCATAATATAACGCATTATTACAATGATGACTAATCTTGAGAATGTAAGGGGGATTTAAAACAAAATGTCATAATACAGTAATAATTCGTCTTCATTTGTTGAAAATTCTTTAACAAACTAATATAAGGTGCATGAGGAAAAGGGGAAAATGAAGAAAAAAATATCGCTCCCCTTCTTTCTAAGACGTAATCCCTCGTATTTACAAAAAGATCAAATGAGAGAAAAAGAAAAAAAGCGATAGAGCAGGAGAGAGGGAAACAACAAGGAGAAAAGGGGGAGATAAAACAAAAAAAATGAAATAAAGAAAGATAGAGATGGAGAAAGAGAGAAAGAGAGAGAAAGAGAGAGAGAGAGAGAGAGAGAGAGGGGAGAGAGCGAGAGGGGGGGGGGGGAGGAAGGAGGAGATATACATGAAGCTCGGTTTTAGTATTCAGTATCTCGTAATTATTCATTTCGTAACCCCGTAGGCACCAGAACAGGAGCAATCTCACAAAAACAACGTTTACTTGTCGAATCTAAAACCAAACCGCAAATAACTTTTATTTCACATTAGATTTACAATTCGGCAATAAAGTTTTACCTTCACTGGAATGTCATACAACTGCGACATAGGACTCGTCTATTCGTTTAGACGTCATTTGTCGTGAGTAAACAGTGAAACAATAGGCTGTGCAATACTGTACCTCCATAGCAGAATGTATGCATGCCACACCCGCTTGCTTTAAAGATTAAGATGGACAAACTTTCTTTTGACCTGAACACCATATCACATTTGAAATTCCCTCGGAGCACATAGATTATAAATTGATAAAATAACAGTACACCATGTTTTATTTCTAGCGCATTAACCTCTTCCTCTCTTTCTTTTCCCCCTCCCTCTCCGCCTCTCTCTTTCCCCACCCCTTTATCTCATTTTGCCACATTTGAACGTAACTCACAATACGTCTGTTGAGAAGTAGAAGGACATTACCTAATATACTTTAACATAGAGTTAACTCCCTAATTGCTATCATCAGAGGATTACATAATACCTCTTCTCTCCCCCCCCCCTTCCCCCTTCTCCCCCTTCCCCCTTCTCCCCCTTCCCCCTTCTCCCCCTTCCCCCTTCTCCCCCTTCCCCCTTCTCCCCCTTCCACCTTCTCTAATGTAGGCCTAATTATACCTACCATATTAGACACGAGCAGCCATATTAAAAATTATACAGTAGCAAATGTAACTCTAAATTTGGTTATGATCGCATCCCACCGGGCTTGCCATTTCCATGTGAACGGGTGCATTGAAATTGAAAGTTGGTCAATTTGCATAACGTTTCGTAGAAGCTTCTTCGTTTAAATGTATGAATACTGAAGCACCTATACAAGCTTCAGTATGAGATGTTTAGTTTAAGGATGACTTATCGCCTATAATGCAGTCATATTGATGTAACTGGACGACATTTAGTCTGAACCAAATGTTCCACTAAAGTATGAAATATCATATTATAATGTTTGGTTTGTTTGCTTGTTTTATAAGTTATATTTATCATTACTGTTATTATAATTGTTACTATCTTTATTGTTATTATTTTGTTGTCGTCATCATCTTCATTATCAATATTTTTATTATTATCACTATTATTATTATTTGTTTTTGTTTTATTTATCTCTTTTTTTTTGGGGGGGGGGGGTTGCTGGCTAAGTGCTGAAAAAGCATAATGATAATAGGGAGAAGAAAATAAGATGCAAAAGGGTAATACAGGTCGATAATGATTATACAGTGAAGAATGAAGTTCAAATTTACTCCTCAAAATTAATGGGCATAATAAAAGCACCTCTTGAAATGGGGTGAAACATTAATCTCAGTTGGAAGGTAATGGATTGAGATCCACGTATTCATACTTTTAGCTTCGATAGACATGATATTAATCATCATGCATGTAATGATCAGCCTGTTCATCAGTTTTTGCTTCTCTGTTTCCATATTCCTCACCTCTCATGGTATTCTTCTTCTTTTTGTCAGCCATCAAATGTCATCAAAATTATGATCTCTTTGTTGAGGTGATATTGTGTCGCATTATGCATTTAGAACTAGCCTAAAATCATCTCCTTTAAGTGATTCCACTAAATCATTTTAGGCTTTTCAACTTCATGCAAATTAATATGTACAACGTCTGAAACATGACGTCACGAAGCAAACAAAGATCTTTCTAAAGGTCTGTGTGTCATACAAACATTTATGTTAATATGGAAGAGATAGTTTGATAACATGCATTGGGATTTTCAAGTCCACTATTAGGTAAGATGATGAAAGGTGGTTCATTACATGGCTGCATGGCTTCATTGGGTCACCCTTTGGAGGAAAGCTTATAATTCTGTTTGTCTTTCTTACTTTCTGCCTTCACTCCTATTGTTATTGACCGTTATGTCAAGGAAGTCTGGCTGCATTCTGTGTTCAGTGTCTTACATCAAAGTATTACATGAAATGACTGATTTACATATTACCGTCTCTTTTGTGATGGTATTCATACCAACATCTTATCACTCTTGAAACCTAAAGAAGATTTTGAAAAAGAAATCGTCCACCTTTTTGTCTCCCTTGTTTGTCCTCAGAATATGCACACATACATAATCATGACAACGACGCTGAACGTTAGTCTTTTCCAAAGGTTATACTTCTCTACAGGTTTTGTTTTCTTACATTCGTATACATTATCTAAAGTCTGCCACGGAGCCAAAAGACAGAATTTTAAACTGATATCTTTAACCAACTCTCCTTTTCCCAAGGATTTATATTATCTCCCAAACTTTCTCATGTAAATTTAGATAGGCTAGAGTCGACGCCCTACTGGCTCTAGGTGGACGAAGATATTATGTGCTCCCTATAACAGATCGGATATTATGTTTCTGAGACTAGAAAGCCAGTCTTGAACTAACGATAAGAACGACCCACCACTCTATTATGCCAAATGAAGAAGAGAAATCGATGTGCTATATTATATGTACAATACGCACAACAATTAAACAAAGACATCGATTATGTAAGAAGAAGGAAATACGCAATAAAATACAATACAGCTTCAGCACCCGATCTGTTGGATCCCACATGTTCATTGAAATCTTCTGTCATAGCCTGTATTAGGTTCATGCTGTAACCAATGGTCAATCCAGTGGAGGGATGAAGTGCAGCCCTCCCCATATTCAATACTGAGGCTCATCATTCAAAACAACTGTTTCTTTCTTGGTTTTCCAATATATTTTGTTAGATAATGTGATAAAACCAAGAGAAAAGATTACTAGAGGAAAATAGGTTGAACTGAACGATGTTTTTGAAAATGGAACATGAGCAAGGTGAATTCGACATGTAGAAAATTTCAAATTTTCAACGATCTGAATGGGACACCATCATACATGTATATTCATGTTCTCTGTTATGTTTCAATCAATAATGCCTGAATGAGGATTTAACTAATACCCTTGTCATTTTAGAGCAACTTGTTGCATCAGTATCCATGCTGGCACTAGTATAGTTCTCATTTAGATGAACAGACATAGATGTACTTTCCTCATGAGTGTCAGGTTTATGTCTACATCATCGAAAAAAAAATTTTTAGGAATATCGTGTTGAAACAAATAATTGCAACCATGATAAAAAAAAAACTTTCCTGTATGTGCATCGTTAAAAAACTATTCACTTGAAAACGCCCCAATATCTCCTCCAATCGAGACCATTTTACGAGCAATATAAATGCCTAAAGATATGACACAGCATGGTTATAACATTTGTCTGAATTTACTGAAAGTCAGTATGCATCCCGAATGTGATAGATGAATATGGTCTAATAATAGCCGTCATCGTTCAGAGACGTTGTGTGCGCCATTGCGCAACTTGTGTTTGACCAAGGGAGGGGTCAAAGAATAGATGAAAGTTCTAAGAGAGCGGAAAAGTGGTCCGAAAGGGCGGAGGCTCTTCAAATGTTTGCACGAGTACCTTGGCACCGCCTGGTTCTATTATCCGGCTCTTTTCTTCAGACATCCTCTATGGGGTTTCATGACTGAATAAGGTGCTGAGGAATTCTTCGCATAGATCCCGACAGCCTTAGAAGTGGAGACAAGCCCATCCGAGGGAAGAAAACTAAAAACTCTTTTTTTCGGGATAACACCATCTTACTTCTTAGCATTTGATCAGCTCATAAGAGGAATACATCTCTACCATGTTACAGGATTTTTAACAGTTTATTGCCTGTTTTGAGAGAAGATTCTTCTTATTTTGAGGAGAAAGCAAATGTTTGCCAGAATGCCGACTACCCACTCAAGTAGGGGGATATCTTGTCAATGGCTTCATTTAAGTTATATCATCCTCACTATCTTATCAGTACAAAAGGTCTCACAGGGTAAGTATAGTAACGCTTTTTTTTCAAATGAAAAGTCTGTTTTCTTTTAGATGAAAGTGGATTCAATTAATGGTATAATTGAAACTTAACCATTTAAATCATATGTGTGGTATCATATTTGTTAGAGTAATAATATTACTATACAATGATAATAGCTACATTTACAGTGCCTGTATACTGATAATAATACAAAGTTTGGGCCCTGTGTGAAGGTGTCTCGTGGATATGTCACTGACCGTGGATCACATGGTTCGCGGTTCGAGTCCCGCCGCGGCACTATTGTCCTTTGGCATATCATTATCTATACTTTCCCCGACCCAGGTCAGGTAAATGGGTTCCTGTGAAATGCTAGGGCATCATGATGGCAGCAATGCTAAACTGGGGTAGTAATTGTAAAGCGCCAGGAGTATCAAGTCTGACAGACATGAGCACTATACAAGAACCCACTATTATTATTATTATTATTATCATTTTTTGATTAGTATTATCATTAGTATCATTATTATTATTATGACTATTATTATTATTATTATTATTATTATATAGCATACAGAACTGCCGAGAGAGGCATCCTAAGCGCACGATAGATTCACGGGAAGCTCAAGCTGCCTAATAGCACTGAAATTATTCAATGCATTTATTTCTGTCAGGTACCCATTTACTACACCTAGATTGCGATTAATATTTTACATTGGGATCCCGACTAGACTGCGACACCTGTATCTTACATAATGTAATAACATCAGGGTTAGCTCTACTACTTTAATACACATGGATTGAGAGTGGCAAATGTAGAATGATGTTTTGCCAAAGCACATCACTTTGCCACGTACTATGGGATTCGAACCGCGAACCATCTGGTCGAAAGTATGATACTAGACCACGGCACCTATATCTTACATGAAATAAGAATATTGTGTAATATTTTATACATTTACTACACCTGGGTTGTAAGAGGCAAATATCAGACATCAGGGCTACTTAAGGGATTCGAACCGTGAACCATCTGATCCAGAGTCCGGTGCAAGACCACGACATCTCTATCTTAAATAATATAAGCATAATTATGTCATATGTTTAAAAGACCACGACCAGACCATGACATCTCCATCTTACATATAAGAACATTATGTGAGGTGTTCGAATGGCCTTATCCTAAGAATTATCGCCGCTCTTGGTATTTCCATTTTATCTTTCTATTATCTCAACCAAGCTTCTTGGGTCTTTTATTGTGACAGTGATTATAGTCTTCTGAATGGCGTGGCTGAGGGGAAGCCCATCATATGCGGAAGTACTCCTCGCGAAAAAATGTTCATTCATGAGGCATCCATTTCACTTAATAAACCTCGACGTACCTTTATATTTGCAAAATAAATTAGAATCTTAACATCTACATGTAGCTAAAACAAAACGAAAGATCCATGGCAATGATAAGCATAATGATAATGAGCTACATTTCGTAACACGCATATTAAGGCCCGGTCACACAGCCCTCCACGGGCGTATCGCGGCCGAATCACGGCCAAAAATTTCTGCCCGTGAAGCAGACGCTGTTGGACGCTTTGAGGTCGCGATAAAGACGCGATACAGCCGTACTTTACCCGTCGTTACACGCGGTAAGAAATTCACACGCGGTTGGCCGCGCGAAAAAGTTTTGGGCTGCCCAAAAATTTAGACCGCGGGTAATCGCGGGCGGTACACGTGGTACACGTGGTACACACGCGGTAAAGACGCGGTACAGACGCGGAACGAACGTGCTAGGACGTGCTACGGCCGCGGTTAAGACGTGGTTACACGCGGAATTGGACGCGAAATTTTAGCGGGTAATCGCGGGTGGAGCACGGTCATAGCACGTTTGTTCCGCGTCTGTACCGCGTTGTTATCACGTGCATTAGCGTGTGTACCGCGTGTAAGCGTGGTAGGCCGCGGTACCGCCGCGCTTCACCCGCGATAAGGACGCGGAACAGTCGCCGGCGTCTGTTCCGCGGGCATACCACGGGTAAACCGCGGGTAAGCCAATTTTGCACATTTTCCACCACGGGCAACCGCGGGCAAAAAAAAATCGCGAAATTTTACCCGCGATACAGACGCGAAAGGCTGTGTGACCGGGCCTTTAGTATCAATGAACATGCAAAGTACCGGTGTTACTTCGTCTGCCCCAAAACACCGGATCATTTAAAGCTTTTCTTTCAACCCGGCACCTATGAGCTACACATTCTGGCTTTAAAATGGAAAGTGTAGAAAAATGTCTTCATTGATTCGAATGAAATTGGTTTCGCGATTCGGACTCCAGCCCATGGATATTTGTATACACATATCTACACCCTCGACCATTTGTTTTAGTATGGGTCTCGAATAGATCCGACCTAAACTCAGTATGATTGCTCGAAATACAAGCACATCTATAGCAGTAACATAGTTAGGGTTCCTCCAAAAACGAATTTTCCTTTTACCTGACTACCTACCACGACACGCTTCGAGATTTCAGATTTCATTCCCTGTAAACAAATTATATTATGTTATCATAAGCTCTATTTGACTTAAAAGTTGCTGAACAAAAACTGCCTTCTTTATTGGTTCGTATTGGTTTTAAACACCACTGACTTTTACATTACTGTTTGTAAAATAACATAAAGATAAATAAATGTACTTATAATGTCATTGAATCCTTTCTTCATATTCATAGTTCATGTAGATGAATACATTATGTGTCCTATTTCAAAAGCTTCTGTTTTTCTTTCTGGAAAATTGGATTATGAATGCCTATTATATTTAACTGTCATTCTTATTATTATATATTACCTTGTCTTCGCATGATGTTTTCTATTTGCATTTTGGCATTAGACTGCAATCCAACATACTCGTTTGATCTTTAAACTACAACAATTTTTACCAAAGCAGGCTTTGAAAAGCGAAGCTTGAAATCATCTAAGAATGTTACCCGGTTGATAATAAGCTTCATCACAGGAATTACGTAAAGGAAATTTGATATCAACAATATAATTCTGGATCGGAGAATCACTGCGAGTTGAAATCACATTTTCTTGTGCACAACATTAGCGATAGTTTATATTCTCTAGACTATTACCATACATAAAGGTCATCTCTCTGAGGATTATTACAATCCGAGCCTAATTTTTTACTATTATTCTGCATGTCTGAATGATTAGGATTTCATTCAGGATTATCCAATCAACTACAAAACGCATTTAAAAGGAACAAAAATCGAGCTTCATTGGCGTTTTCTGTTTGGCACATATTGAAATTTGATACAACCCACAAGACCATGAAAGACCGTCTGTCCACGACCCCATCATTATCTCGCGGGCCTTCGGACATCTTATTTGAGGATTCACGAGATTCACAAGACGGACATCGTTGTCGGTCCATGGGCTGTCGGTCTCCCAAGATGTCCTCAATTATTGTAATTGCAATGTAAATCAATCACAGAGACTGAATAACCTCACGTTCTGTTATTCCAGTTACTTCGATACAAGTAAATTCATATATCAATACGTGTCGTACCAGGCACTGTCATCTGTTATAGTCCTTACAATTAACAACTGAAATAAATGTTAATTTGTGTGTTTTTCGTAACTTAAGAATAAACGATGCGCTGGTTAAATTAAGGCCTTTGTTGAATACGCTTTGATATGTCAAATTCTCAAGAAACATAAATCGGGAGAATTAATTTTGTTCACATACTTAAATAATTACAAAACTTTGTAAGAGTATGAACAATTCAGTTGTTATTTGCGTATGATTATTACCAGACATAGCAACAACGAATGCAAATAATGTGCATTCTAATTATACATAATTATGCCACCCTGCATAACAGATTTATTGGATACTTCATTATATTAGGGTTGTTTTCGATGGAGAAACCATTCAGCGCATTTATAAACTGTTCAGATGATTTAATTAAGACTGTTCTTGAAATAAATTTGCATCATGAGTGATGGCTGATAGAAGCTTTCTGTCTAAAATGTATTCTCATTCTATACTGAATACGCCTTTCATGATTTGTTTGGTTTCATGCAGCTTGTGAAGTATTGACGGCGCCTGAGAGCGGATCTCTCACCGCTGAAGAAGGATTTGGAGAAGGAGCGACTGTAACGTTTAGTTGTAACGAAGGTTACAGTCTCATTGGATCACCATCTACGACTTGTAATGACGATTTATATTCAAGACCTGTTCCTACTTGTGTCCGTGAGTATAAGAAAATATACTAAGCTGAATAACGGGAAGGAATGGGAGTTTTTAATTTTTGTTTTTATTTCATGTATGCAATATTTACTAAGCACGAAGACTTTAGATCTATGATTTTTTTGTAGCCAACCTCATGGATCCCCGCGGTGAAAAAGCAATTGATGTCCCAATAAGGTTTTCCATCCTAATAGTGGATTTAAATGAAAGAATAGATATAAATACACATATCAATATGCGAATACATGAGTAATATAAGAATATGGAATGAAAAATGATATAATATAAATAAATAAATGAATAAAAAATATTCATTGCAGTGTAATGGGGAAATTTGCAGAAATTGATGATTTTGATGATCAATGATTTTGGATTCTTGAAGACCTTGGCTCTCATATCCGCTACACAGTGATCCTCTTTGCACACCAATATTACCTTATCCTGAACCTGAATAGCACAGTATACAAGGTATTTCCTCCTACCAAGCAGAAACCAAATACCACATAACTTCACGGTTGAAAGGGCTTACCATCTTACTACACCTAGATCGAGAGGGACAAAAACACAGAGCAAGAATTCGAACTACTAACCGCTCGTATGAAAATCGCCCGTTTAACAATTAAGATACTACGTTAATGCTTAGTTTCAGAATGTGTGCAGATTAAAGATTAAAACAACATTATTTGAAATTAAAAATTGATATCACGATACCAATTGCGTATCAGATAATTTATAAACGGGGTGGGGCAGCCTGGAAGACGCCCAACAGAGAATACGCTGTACGCGCATAAACCATATTCTCTTATAGGGCGTCTTCCAGGCTAGAAGGAGAAGTTGAGTTTCCTTGCATCCTTGCAGGCTGAGGACGACTGTATATGTAATTAACTTTCCAGGGCCTATACACAGGTTACATGCGAGGGGGCGGCATCTACCCTAACTGGCTCCACCACCTATAGTGTCTATAATATACACCCATAATGGTTGCCCCATAAACAAGAAAGCTTTTTCTTTCTCGATCTTAGTTGACTGCAGTGATCCTGGGTTTCCAGTGGACGGATCCCAGGAAGGGTCCCCAACCTACCAGGCTTACACTACGGTCTCGTTCGTGTGTGATAGTGGGTTTGGTTTGGTAGGGGCACCCACTATAACATGCGACGGTGGCACTTGGACTCTACCTGTTCCTGAATGTGTCGGTAAGTAGTTTGGTCGATGCCAGCTTTCTATTATGAAAGCATAAACGTCAATGGCAGATTTTTTTTAACGAAATTGATTTTTTTTTTAAATCACTATTTTGGAGTACATCAAAATGAAAATCGGTGACTTTTAAACTTCTGAAGCTAACTGGGATTTTTAAGGTAGGAGGCTATTCTCGAGCACTATTCAACAGTATTTCTTTCGTTCATTTCTCCTCGTTTAGAGATAAATAAATGAATTAGCTCGTGTCTTCTTGCACGTCAAAGAGTATTGCAACTATATCAAATGATATGACAAAGTAATCGAAATTGTTTAAGGGTAATAAGTACAAGATCAGGGACAATCAATTTCAATTTCATTAACCTGTTGATGTATCTATATTGTAGCCAACTGTGCCGACCCAGGGACTCCATCTAACGGCGTCCAGGTAGGGTCTCCCACCTATCTTCAAGGTACGACTGTATCTTTCGAGTGTGAACCGGGTTTCACATTGATTGGTGCTTCAGTCATCTCCTGTGAGGATGGCGAATGGGATAGAGGAGCGCCCACTTGTGCAGGTTTGTCTTATATCTAGCTGAAAACACATGAAAACGAAGTTAATACACACATTTAATTTAACTAAATGTTCGTCTGTTGAGAGGCAGTATAGGGTGTATCAAAGGTTATATGTTAATCAACGTCCTCCTGACATTCGGTGGACATTTTCCCCATTTCCACATGTATGTGACGGAAAAATTTAAATTTTACTATAAAATCGGGTAAACTTGTTGGAGAGGGAGGGCGGAGTGTCAATTTTCCCCTCTGATTCTTATTTCGAGGAGATTGATTATATGAAGATTAATATTAATCACAGAAACCTAGATTACGTAAGGAGAACGCATTCTTAGACTACACACATGGTAATTTTCTAATTATCTCATAATTTAAAGAAATAAAAGATGAGATGAATACAAATATACCCTACTGTGCTTAAATCTTGACAGAGTGGCTTGCATTAGCATCCCTCGTAAAGTGTATAATCATGGCTCGTTTTAAACATTGAAAACTTTGTGTTCCACTCCTCATGCCACAATTGAATATTCTTACCTGAACAAAAATGACAACGAACACAATGATCTTAGAGCTTATTTTCGTCACAAACATTTACATCTTTCAGCGGACTGCACTGATCCGGGTACTCCGGTTGATGGAACTCAATCAGGTTCCTATGGTAACGGAGACACTGTTTCGTTCACGTGTGATGATACATTTACTCTGGTAGGAGCAAGTATCATCAGTTGCATGGGCGGAGACTGGAGTGATGAAGTACCAGTTTGTTACGGTGAGAATACATTATTTGTTATTTTACTAACTCTGTTAGGGCATGTCCAAGCTATAATCTCATTTGATGTCACATACGTTACCATGTATTGAGAGATTATGAACAGGAAGTGATATCAGATGTGTCACTTCACTTCATGTACGGATCCAAGCTCTAGCATGGCTGTGAACCTAATGCGATGATCAGGAATACTAAATTACTTAATGCGGTCGGCAACATAAGGGACAAAATAGTTTGGACTTGTGCTTAAATCAATGTATTCAGTTCCGCAAGGCCCACGTTTAGCCCTCACAGCCACTGATATTAATAGACGCCACCTTCGTCACCGAGAATGAGAGATAACATTCATTATTGTGTTATTTCATTAGTTATTAATATTAAAATTCCTGTTTAGGCACCATCGATTAAGGCGCCGAATAATTCATTAGTACAACAAATTCATCGTCCACAATGGTACATACCATACATCGCTAGGACCTCTTATGCAAAGATCTGATATTGATATTGATAAGTAGCTATACGATTACTCATCTGAAATATTTTAGGAAAAAATAGTTGTTTATTGTCTTACAAGCAGCCCTCATAACATCATATCATACCACTTTTCATTGATCCAGCTCAATGTGGTGATCTTGTAACATTCGAGAATGGAATCAATTCGGGTGGAGTACAGTATGGGGACACACTCACCTATGTCTGCAACGAGAGATACACCCTGGTCGGAGCTTCTGAACTAACATGTACAAGCAATGGCTGGGACACTGAGCCACCCGTCTGTTACCGTGAGTAAATATAATAACGTAAATAACAACAACCCCAGCAACGCTGATAATAAAAAAGAAAAATTTATTGAAAATATTTATAATAATAATATCAAGAGTCGGATATAGTAATGCATTTTCTTCGGTAGAGTATTACGTGTCATGTCTTGTGACTTTATTCTATTTTTTAGAAAGCTGCACAGATCCTGGCACTCCCTCGTTTGGCAGTCAGTCGGGAACGTACGAAAATGGAGATGTTGTCGAATTCTCATGTGACGATGGATATACCCTCATTGGTGCGTCACAGATCACTTGTGAAGATGGAACATTTTCAGCAGAAGCCCCAATCTGTCAAGGTATATGACACGGCATCTTCCATAGACATCGCTGTGACGAAGTGATTGTTATCTTAGGAACCTGTGCTGCCATTATTGATTAATCGAGTATTGACTTTTATAAATATATGTAGCTAGAACGTTGTTGTTGTCTCTTGTATTTTAAAATACCTACAAGACCACTGTCTTATAGTCCCTCTTAATATAAACATGTGATTACATTTATATTAACTACATGTACATTAAAATCCATATGAGCTTGTTTCATCTTGGTCAGTGGGCTATACCTAAAACAGAGAAGAAGGAAACAAAAACACATGAGTATTAAGCAGTATTAAGCAAAGGAAAAGAGTGATTGTGATATTTGTAACAAATTAACACAATCAGAAAGAGCTATATATCCATCCAACTTTGGGCAATTTTTCTTTTCCTACCCAATTTGGTTAATATTTTGCTCATTTATAAGTAATTCTATGACCCTAATTGGACAAAATATTACTCAAGTTGGGTAAAGAAAATAACCAAAGTTTGTTGGACACATAATTAACTTCGTGCTGCGCAAATGTATACCTTATACTTTTTAAAGTAGCACATAGTATCACTTAATACCACTGGCACTGCTACTCATTTCATTTACTGACTACCAACTGCAATATGACGACATGACCTAGGGTTCGATATGCATCCAATACTCAATTTTCAATCCATTCACTATTCCACCAGCCGACTGTTCGGACCCAGGAACCCCAGCAAACGGAGCCCAATCAGGATCCTATGGCAACGGTGATACAGTGACATTCACGTGTGATGACTCATACACATTGGTAGGAGCCAGTATCATCACCTGTCTCGGAGGTCCTTGGAGTAACGAAGTTCCAGAATGCATCGGTGTGTAGGCCTATAATCATTTTTGTATTCTAATAAACATGTTACTACAGGTTTTGAATGTTATAGCGATTCAGACATAATCACAATAGTTCTCGAAAACGGTGTAAGAAAAAAGACGTGGGTTCAAAAGATGTAGCTTTGACATATTATATATAATCCGGTCACACAATTCTCGTTGCAGTGCAGTAACATAAACAAATGACCGAGAGCTGGTTTAATAGACAGTTTTTGGGAAGGCATGTTGACTTGACTGCAATCGTCGCATACATACTACTATAAGACATCCGTCAGAAACAAGCCGTTCATTCTTTCGAAAAATGTATTTATTATAATTCCAATCTCCATCTATTTTTTATATGATATAGAGATATATTCATGTAGCTATTGCCGAGAGTACTTCTGCTAACGTATATTTTACCCCCCCCCCCTTGTTTTTACCCCTTACAGCGGCATGTGGTGATCCTGGAACATTGGAGGACGGCACCAAATCGGGTGGTGTGGAGTACGGGGACACGCTCACCTATGTCTGCAATGAGGGATTCACCCTGGTTGGAGCTTCTGAGCTAACATGTACAAGCAACGGCTGGGACACTGAGCCACCCTTCTGTTATAGTAAGTCTGTACATAAATGACAACGTTCTTCCAAGAAAAAACATTTTAAACTATAGTAGGTAGATACCAAGAATTAGGCGCCGTATTTGTTAGTTTGCTTGGTCTGTTGTGATGAACAGTGTCGTATTGTGGGTATAGAAATTGAGAGGGCACTGGCATCATACTTTTTACTCAATTTTCTTTCCTATCCAGTTTTCCCTATTTTACCATTCGGCATGTGGCCCCAACCCTCATGCCCATTCTGTGGTTACGCCACTGGTCAAGAACATTCGTGAGACAAACAGTGTTTCGTCATTCTTTCTTTCTTACTAGTTCATTTTTATTTTTCAAGGTAACTGTGAAGACCCAGGTACGCCAGCCTTTGGTAGTCAATCTGGAACCTTCGACCACGGCGATGTTTTAACTTTTGAATGTAACCAGGGTTACACACTGATTGGTGCATCTCAGATCACCTGTGATGATGGAGCTTACAACGCAGACATTCCTGAATGTGAAGGTAAGCAGTTAATCACATATCTTACTACCGTAATATATTTCCTTTGATCAGTCTGAATTTACCGTCACCGGAACTTTTATGTTTTGGAAAAAAGAGTTCGAATTAGTTTTACTGATAAAATTCTATCCTTGCAACAAACCAATATTAGGCAACGTGTGGCAATATTGCAGAGCCGAAATGAGTCAGGTCTGCCTGCAGTATATGACCAACATGAGCACGACAAAAAAATGTTTAAGTTATACCTCTATTTAATATACACTGTCGCTCATAAAGGTGGAATATTTTTGTTTTACCCCAATTGATGGAATTATTTTAAAAATTATTTAAAAATAATAGATTTAGATAATAGTATACATTCTCAGATTTTATTGAATAATAATTTGCCAATGTGTGTTTTGCGGGACTGCTAAAGCATGTGTATGCTAATATGCTTATTAACTAGGGGACTTACGCCCTCAAGTCATAAATGACAGTAATGAGGATTAATGCCCCACAAAAGGGCACTAATATAGCACATCGACACGGTTTTGATCGTGGGGCCTCACAGTTACGAGGCCATTGTTTTGTCACTGAACCGTACGCAGCGGGGGCTAGGGTAGGGGGCAGTTTCTATAAATAAATTATTTTTTTTTTAAATGCAATAAATTTTCAATAATTTATTGCATTTTACCCCAGTCCCCAACATAAAATAATCCTCTGGACGGCCATGCATTATGGCTTCATATATATGAAGACATATTTAATCAGACAATGTATGCAATTGATTGACCGATGCATTCCATGAAAGTAATCAAAAAGAGCACAAACGCATGTAACGGTGGGCTACATAGGTATGTTGCGAAGTTCAGCGTCTGTTTCATCACACTAAATGCATGTCTTCAACTGACATTTCCCTTTTATTTGTTACAATGTTAGGCGATGTCACTGTCTCAACGGATTCACCGGCTGGCACAACGCAAGGATTAAAACAAACAACTGTTGCTGCAGCTACAACTGAAGAGGCTTCGGTTACAACTACACCGACTAGCAGAGTGACTAGTGATACAGGAACCACAGTAGAAGACCATCCGACAACAACAACAACAACATCCGAAGTGACAACTGAATTCAGGGAAACGACACGAGAAGTGGATGTCGAAACGACAAGACCCGAGCCCTCAACAAGACCACCTCAGCCAACCACATTAAGTTCTTCCTCATCTGGTACAACAACACGTGTCTCCCCAACAACTGCTGCTGGAGGTACTACTACAGATGTTGCAGCTACAACGATACGGGAGAATGAAGAAACGACACCTGTTCTAACAACGGCTGATACAGGAACAACTTTAGGAAACCGCCCTTCAACAACACAAGATGGTGTCAAAACAACGGAAGAAAGGGAAACTACACCAATGATCGACATCGAAACAACAAGGCCAGAACCTTCCACTAGACCGCATCGACCAACCAGCCCAAGTGTCTCTACCAGACCTCTGCCTGAAAGCACTACGCGCGATTACTTCTCACAGCACACCACCATCGATATTGTAACATTACCGACTCGGATGATGACTACTGATGCATCATCACCAGAACCTCCAACGAGACCTCGTCCAAGATGTCCACCAATCATGGCCCCAATGCATGGATCTTACAGACGGTATGATTGGTATCGCCGTGGGGAGAAGGTTGTTTTCTCATGTGTTCATAACTACGTCCTCATAGGGCCCGAATGGATCATTTGCTTTAATGGAGAATGGAGTGGTCCTGTACCTGAATGTAAAAGTGAGTACAGCTTCCCGGATAGTTACATTCAATGGTTTATGTTTGCCAAGTGTATTAAATGGGAACTAGTAATATTTTATTTCTCTTCTTTTAAGCTTCCAAATGTATTCACGGTACATTAAAGGCCATAATGGAGTCAATTATAAGAGCTTATAATTATGGGGTATATCGATAAAGATAAAACTTTCAATCTCGTCGTTGCGAGCATTGTCATCATTCATTAATTTCCTACATGATATCATTATGCATTTATTTTAATATCCCTTTTTTGTTTCACTTGTCTTTATAAATTAGTTACTTGCGGTCGGTATCCTCCTCCTCCAAGGCATGGTTATGCCCTTCCTCTCGATAGACACATTCCATCTCGCCCTTCATCCTGGACACCTCGACCAGGTTATGGAGGAATGGTGCCGGTCTCGCGGGCCCCATTTCCCGACGGTATGAGGGGTGACGACACGTTAAGTGACTTATTCGATGAGGCCGGCGAATTCGATGATGTACCAGGTCTTCTTGGAGCATTGAACTTCCCGAACATTGGAATAGGAAATCCCTTTGCGGGTGATGACGAGGAATCCGTCACAGCCTCTGCAGGTCCAACTGGAGATTCTGGAAATGGGGGTTGGGGGGTTCCTAGCGGGGGTTGGGGGATTCCTGGCGGTGACATCGATTTGCCTGATATAGACATACCTTTTATCGGTGGTGGAGGTGACTCTGGTGATATGGTGACGTTCTCTCCTGGATTTACCCTACCCTCTGTCACCTGGGAAGGTGGTGTTTCTCCTGGTGATTCATCCAACGGGTTTCCGGATTTTGGCAACGTCAATTTACCAGCTGTACAGGTCATCCAACAAATAATTGACATTACGATGGATATAGACTGGCAGATCATAGATTCTGAATCTTTCGTTATGATCCGTCTTTTACGTGAATTGATCAGAATTGTGAGCGACGTTATAATGGCAACTAATTGGGAAAATGGTGATCTATCTACCATCAACTGGGAAAACATGAACGCATCCGCCTTGCCGATGCCTGGTGTGATCCGAAACGGTCTAACTGTGATTCTATCAACTGATTGGAATAACTATGATTGGACATCTCTTGATTTCATTCAACTTGCTTTTCCAAGTTTTATGAGGGAAATCATGTATGTCATAACGGATACTGATTGGTCCACGGTTGTAGATATCCAAGAAGCTATCGCTGCTATTCAACGTCCGGTATTTATGATTGATGATCTACCGGATATTGACCTTTCACGTATCAATACAACACGCCTTTCAATAGACGTAGATGCTCTACAACTCTTAGCAACAGAGTTTCTCGCTAGTGGAAACGTATCAAATGTTAATTGGGAAGCCGTGGTTGGAATAATCAATTCGAACCTTCCCGAAGGATTTCCGACGTTCCGATGGGAAATCGAAGGAACGTACTTACCTTTCTTGGATTGGAGTACAATGAACGTCACTGCACTGAATTTGGAAAATATCAACTGGTTCAATATGTCAGCGCTCCCTGAATTCATCAGGGAACTGACTATTTTCTTTCTTTCAACAGACATGGAAGTTATAAGAGCCGACGATATACTGGCTATACTACCCATTCCAGATGGAATTAGAGACATGCTCACAATGGCAATGAATTTCGACTGGAACAGGCTGAACATGACAGGAATCAATGACTTGCCAGTACCTACTACAAGTTCTGATTTGATCGCTATAGTCACTCGAATTTTGCGTCAGAATCCCATCGACTGGAGTCTCCTCCGAAACCTCACCGGCATGGACTTGATGAACTTGTATAACATGAGCTTGGCAGATACGCCAATACCAAATGCACTGCGTCCTTTCCTGTCTGGCTGGAATGATTTTAACATGACTGATATTCCTTACGTCGAGTTACTACGACCTTATCTGGAAAGCTTGATGAATATGGATTGGGAGAACTTTGATGGAAACAGCACAGATTTCAGAAATATGAGTCTACCAGATTCCTTCCGAAACATTCTAGAATTCATAGTTTCAACAGACTGGGAAAACCTTGACACTACGGTTCTTGAAAGCATCATGCCAGCATCACTCCAAAACATTCTGTTCATTGCAAGACACCTGGACATGACTAATCTTGAATTGATAGAGTTCATGTTGCCTCTTTTACCATTACCAGAGAACGTAAAGTACTGGATAGAGATGGCAATCAATTTTGACATGCAAGACATTGATGTTAATCAAATGAATATGACCGCTCTTCTTCCCGACGAATGGAGGGAATACTTAATGATGTTGATGAATATAGACTTGGAAAGCATCCGCTTGATCAATGTTACGGATTTTATCATACCTTCACAAGTTCGGGAGTTTTTCCTTTACCTTAATGGTACGGACTGGAGCAAGCATAATTCCACAGATATCCTCATGAGTCTACCGCTTCCAGATCAGGTCAAATCTGTATTGTTCGTCTTAGTTAACACGGACTGGGACACTGTAGACCAGTCAAATATTGATGTAATCATGAATGAAATTTACTCCATGTTGATGAATTTGGACCTGGAACTTTTGAGAACTTTTGATTTGGATGCAATTGTTAATTTGCATGAAATGCTACAACCGTTTATCCTCATTGACTGGGAAAACTTTGACTGGACTAACGACAACATCACAAATCTTCCCATTCCTGTTGCTGCCAGCCGATTTCTGATAATGGTGATGAGGACAGAGTGGGAGAATATCAACTGGGACCAGATTGATCTGTCTGCTCTCTCAATCCCAGACGAGGTCAAGAGTTTTATATTTACCATGACAAACATGCGATGGGATGCAGCCAATTGGACTGGCATGGTGGAAAATTTGCCAATTCCTCAGGGTAATAGGGATTTCCTCCTAATGCTGATGGATGCTGAAATCCAGGAATATATCTTTGATTTGTTAAATCAACTTATGATGATGGACTGGGAGAACTTTGATTGGATAAATGTCATGCCTGACATGGAAATGGAAGATTTTGACTGGGCGATGATCCTAGATGTTCTAAATCTACCAATTTCAGAAGATTTAAAGAATGTGTTGTTGGTGATGTTCAACTCGAGCAAAGAGAACTGGGATCTGTCAAATCTTGATACATCCATGCTGCCCGATCAATTGTCCGAATTCCTTTACCTTCTGGAAAGTATCGATTGGGAAAACATTGACCTCATGCAAGCAGTAGACCTCATGAACCTGCCCATACCTGATCAGTTCAAAGACATGCTCTTGATGATGACGCAGATTGACTGGGAGAGTTTTGACTGGATGAACATGGACTTTACACTGATTAAGGAACTTCTGGGAGGATTGATGAACATGGACATGGGTAATTTCGATTGGTCTGAGGTCATTGATCTTTCTGGTTTACCAATATCTGATCAAATGCGAATGTATCTGGAGATGCTGATCACATTAGACTGGGAAAACGTAGAATGGAGTGATGTCATCGACATTTCAGGTCTTCCAGAACCCATCAAAGTACTGGTACTTAGAATGATGAGCATGGACTGGGAAAACATGGATATGACAGAGATTCCGATGCCAGATGAGTTAAGGATGTACATCATGATGATATCCCAAATTGATTGGGCCAATATTGAGTGGACTCAAGTTATCGACTTATCTGGACTGCCTATCTCAGACCAAATGAAATTGTTCCTTGAAATGCTTATGAGTATGGACTGGAACAACATGAGTTGGGAACAAATTGATCTGTCAATGATTCCTATGTCCGATCAAGTTAGAGATGTTCTTGAGTTGATAATGCTTGTTGACTGGCAATCTTTTGACTGGGCACAAGTGATTGACTTGTCTGGTCTTCCATTTTCAGACAATACTAAGTTGTTCCTCGAAGAGTTGATGAGGATGGACTGGGAAAACCCTGACTGGAGTGAAATGGACTTCTCAAGACTACTGCTGTCTGAAGAGATGAGAGATATGCTTCAAATGATGTTGACTATGGACTGGAATGAGTTTGATTGGACTCAAGTTATTGATATATCTGGGCTACCCATCTCTGATAAAATGAAGCTCGCGATTCACTGGATGATGAATATGGACTGGGCAAACACTGATTGGATGGACATGGACAGTATGATGGAGCGTGCCATGGCTTTTATACACAGATTGGACTCCATCGTTTCTGATCTACTTCACCGCATTTTCTATGATGTGTACAACAAGATCTTGAAGTTTCTGTTTAGGCTCGACTTACCCTTTCTCCCTGAGCTACCACGTCCTCGGCCACCTCCAATTGCTGGTGATAGTATTACGTATGTTTGCAAGAGAGGTTTCGAGCTAATTGGATCATCTGTACTCACCTGTACGAATGACGGTTCGTGGAGCAGTTTTCCTCCTGATTGCGAGAGTAAGTACCCTTTGAAATAACGAATTTCTTAAACAATTCTGTTTCGTACATGGTATTTATTTGACATGTTTATACCACTGATCATCGTTGAATAAGAATATCTTGGATTGATGAACATCTGTATGATCATTTATAATCGAGCGAACTTTTCTAATAAAGATTGAAAAAGTAATTGATGTGCAACCAAAATAATACAGAAATGAAATTGACCAGTTAAATTTGCAATATTTAATATTCTCTTTTAGTATGGATTTTATTGTATTTTTTCTTTTTTGGTTTGGCTTTAGGCCTTTCTGAAATCATTTGCTTTTCCTCTTTTTTCCAGGAATAAGGCCAACAGAACCCCCGCGTCCTACTGAACGGCCCAGACCAACTGGAAGGCCTCGACCAACCGAAAGGCCTACACCCTCAAAACCTTCAAGGACGACTCTTTTCGAATTTACAACAAATGAAGAAAGCACAACCCAAAATAACAGAGCAACATCTGAATCCTCAACACCCTCAGAAGATCCGAGACCAACTACTTTCGAATATACAACAGAAGCAGAAGAAACAACTCAGAATGACAGAGCAACATCTAAACCCTCCCAAACGACTGAAATATCCACTACAGAAATAGATCAAGGAACTACCATTGATGATGAAGGGACTACTCAAAGATCGGATCTACAAACTACATCAGAGGCAGCAACAAGTGAAATGGTTACAACCGAGGAAGCTTCGCCTGCACCGACAACACCTGCAGATCCATGTTCTTTGAATCCATGTCTGTCGGATGCCAACACAGATTGCGTCTCATTGGGTGACACATACGAGTGCCAGTGTCAGGCAGGATACGCTCGGGATTCAAACGATACGTGTACATGTAAGTTGGTTAGTTTGTTTGTTTTACCTGACCAATAAGAAAGTATGTGTGTTCTTGTAAATAAGCAACCAGGGGACCTTTAAGTCCTCTCCGAGGGACTTGGTAATGAGGAATAATGCCTTACCAAAGGCTCTAGCGCGTCAACTTTGTTTTGAACCCGGGACTTCCGGGTACGAGATCACTGTTCTACAACTGAGTTATCGCACCTCCTCATAAAAAGTATGAAGTAAAAACGTTCTAGTGTTCAGGCAAATGATTAATCATTTCATCTGTAATGCTCAGAGAATTAATCACAACGTAGTTGATACAACATTTATATACACGTACAATTTAATGTGTCCTCAGCCATTCAGTATTTTCAATAATATTTTCATTTAATAAAGATGATACCATAAAATCAGAATGAATATAATGATAGACTTATTCTTTTACAAAAAACATTTTACAGCAACCCAACAGTTTGCAGCATTGATTCGAATCACCGAGGTAAATGGCGGAACTGCCTCATTTACAGAAGACCTGCAGGATACAACATCACCAGCTTTCCAGGCTCTAGCTACTGACATAGAGAACACGGTAAGCGTAGAAGAAATAATTCTTCAGTGACTGTCATAAATGTATGTAAACGTTGATTGAAGTTTAAAAAAGTAGCTTATCATCTTCAGTTTAGCTAAATTGTGGACATTTTATAGTACGTGTAAGAAAATGTAGGCGTAAAAATGATTATCGGCAATTCATAATCAGGAGAAAATGTATTCCTTTGGAGCTTTTAATTTTATACTCGTTTTCCTCTTTATTATTTTGTCGTCAGTTAACTTTAAAAAAAATTCATAATCCGTTTGCCCGTGGTTTGTCAGTTTATCAATTGACGCAGCTGCCTCTCGTAATAATTTATTACCAAGGGTGAATATTCAAGTACAAGTACTTACAATGATTAGCGTATGTCTTCATCTCTTCATAGCTGGACATGATCTACCTGATGAGCTCTCTTGCCGATTCGTATCTTGGAGCCACCGTCAACGGTTTCTCGAACGGCTCTATCGTTGTGGATTACACCGTCAAATTCAGGGACGAGGAAACCACCATCCCAACCAATATGACCACCAATACAACGATACCAACAACGATTGATTCTACAACTGTTGTGGCAGCGTTCACAGAGTCGTTGAAGATGGCGATGGAAATGGGTACTGTCAATGTCAGCATCGATGAGTCATCTGTGATGGTTTCTGGTGAGTGCAGATTGATGCGGTTTGTTTGGTCAGTCATCAATCCCCATCAGTGTTGAAGGAGTCGAGACCAGGCCTTGATCAGGAGACCGGTTTTTCCAGGTCTAGGTCTTGAAATTGAGGACTACCACACTTATGTTATCTTGAAATTAGCATTGTCTCTGTCGTTAGTAGTCCAAATCAAAATAACGTGACGACCTGTTAGCCTATAATATTACAAGTTTATAATTCGCTCACTTGTGCATTATCATACTAGTCCAAATACACTGATGTTCGTAAAGTAATCTTCAATACTACCTCAGTGGTAAATTTGTTTGTTAAACTGAGCTTAGTGAGAAAAGAAAAAAGACGTTTTTTTTTTTATATTAATTTTTACTAGATCTGGATGAATGTGCCTCACGCGATGACAATGACTGTGATAACGATGCTGCCTGCATCAACACTGAGGGATCGTTTACCTGCCGCTGTCGTGAAGGATTCATCGATCTTTCACTAAACATCCGCCAACCCGGAAGAATTTGTTCTCGTAAGTAGCAGTTCATGAGACGCGAATAAAGTATATGTTCCAAATGTCAAACCCAAATTAAAAATTCTAGTGATTTTATTTGTTATAGATGCCACGACAATTTTCTTCTCAGTTCTGCTGATGGCTCCTGATTTTTGCAAGGACTAGAAAAACTTGAATAACCAATGGTTCCTCTTATTGACCATCTTGATAAACATTATTTACACGTACTTTGTATAACGGAGTCGAGATTTTGGTTTGTAGGCTTGAAAATACTATTTTCTTCTCTATTTACGTAGTGCCAAGCACGATGCCACCGCCCCCACCTAACCCCTGTACCAGAAACCCGTGTGCCTATGCTCGGGCAGAATGCATTGTTGTTGGTCGATCCTTCAAGTGCGTATGCCGACCAGGATTTGCTTTCAACCCCGATGGTGTCTGCGAATGTAAGTTTAAATTGGTTGCACATGAATATGCGAACATCATTTTATAAGGAAGGTATTACGCAGTCTAAATTATTGTGTGCCACTTATGGATAAACGTCTTTGCAATCGGTCGAAACTTCGATGGATGGCCAGAGCACTGGGTTACAATACATTTCTAAATTGAGGTGCATATACCACAATGGACAGTTTCAAACAAATATCTTATAATTTGTAGATGTACACCGTCGTAAAAGTTCATTTATTTGGAACGCTCGTCATGATGATTTTTTCTCTTATTTCAATTGTGTTATAGTTTAATAAAATAATACAATTTAGGTATTTGATAGAAGAATGTTATAGAGAAAAGCTATTGCTCATGTTATCTTCCACATCCTACATGTGTTTGTTTTTTCATAGTGACCTGTGGTCCTTTCCCCTATCCACCACGATATGGATACGCCATCCTGTACGACAACCGCCCACCGGGCATGGAGACACCGACGACTCCAGGTGGAATGAAAGGAAACGAGTCCACACCTGGCTGGGAATGGCCTGTCACAAGAGATTTATTCGGAGATGAATTCACCACGGCTTCCAATGACTTGTGGAGGGACGATGAGTCTGGTAACATCGGTGATGTAGTATCTCAAATTGGAAGTCTGAATTTTCCAAACTTGGGAGTTGGAAACCCGTTTGATGGCCTACCAAATGTCGACCTGCCTAATGTGGACATACCCAATGTCGATCTGCCTAATGTGGACATACCCAATGTCGATATACCAGCAGTTGGTATCCCTAACACGGGAGCAACGCAGGTTACACAACAAATCTTGGACATAGTAACGGGTATTGATTGGCAGAATACTGATTTCGAAGTACTTCGTAGAATAATCGAGGCAGTTCTTGAACTCGTCACTAACACAATCTGGGGAGACAGTGATCAGTCCGACATAGATTGGATGAATATGAACAGAACGGTTTTAACTGGTATGATTCCAACTATTGATAACCGTACGCTAAATCTTATTACCGTCATCGGAAGACAGTTTCTATCCAATATGAACCGGTCTGCTGTGAACTGGGAAGCATCTATGGCTGCATTAAACTCACTTCTTCCTCAAGGTCTACCAAGAATCCAGTTGTCAACGGATGGGAGTTCCGATTTCATACTTAACTGGAGTACCTTTAATTTGACATCACTACCTTTGCCAGATAACTTCAGACAGGCAATCACATTGGCCATGGATTGGCACAATACCAACTGGAGTGACATCGATGCGATTCCAGAATTCATCAGGGAACTGATCGAACTCTTCCTAACAACAGACATTGAAAATATAGGAGCCGACGATATGCTGCCTATACTACCCATTCCAGATGGTATTAGAGATATGATCACAGTGGCAATGAATGTTGATTGGGAGCGGATGAACATGACGGGAATCAATGCTATGCCAGTACCTTCCTCAGCAGCTGATTTGATCGCTATAGTCACTCGTATTTTGCGTCAGAATCCAATCAACTGGAGCCTCCTCCAAAACTACACCGGTCTGGACTTGATAAACATGTATAACATGAGTTTGACAGATATGCCAATACCAAATGCACTGCTCCCTTTCCTGTCTGGCTGGAATGATTTTAACATGAATGATATTCCTTACGTCGAGTTACTACGACCTTATCTCGAAAGCTTGATGAATATGGATTGGGAGAACTTTGAGGGGAACAGCACAGATTTCAGAAATATGAGTCTACCAGATTCCTTCCGAAACATTCTAGAATTCATAGTTTCAACAGACTGGGAAGACCTTGACACTACGGTTCTTGAAAGCCTGATGCCAGCATCACTACAAAACATTATGTTCATTGCAAGACACCTAGACATGACTAATCTTGAATTGATAGAGTTCATGTTGCCTCTATTACAATTGCCAGAGAACGTAAAGTCCTGGATAGAGATGGCAATCAATTTCGACATGCAAGACATCGATTTTAATCAAATGAATATGACTGCTCTTCTTCCCGACGAATGGAGGGAATATTTAATTATGTTGATGAATATAGACTTGGAAAATATCCGCTTGATCAATGTTACGGATTTCATCATACCTTCACAAGTTCGGGAGTTTCTCTTTCTCCTAAATGGTACAGATTGGTCAAGTATTGATATAGACGGCATACTGTCACTGATGATGGACATGGGCTGGGAGCATCCTGATGGCTTTGACTTCTTAAAAATGTTAAATCAGTCGATACCGCAGAACGTTCAAGAAATGCTACAACCGTTTATCCTCATAGACTGGGAAAACTTTGACTGGACTAACGAGAACATCACAAATCTTCCCATTCCTGATGCTGCAAGTCGATTTCTCATAATGGTGATGAGGACAGATTGGGAGAATATCAACTGGGACCAGATTGATCTGTCTGCTCTCGCAATCCCAGACGAGGTCAAGAGTTTTATATTTACCATGACAAATACGCGATGGGATGCTGTCAATTGGACTGGAATGGTGGAAAATTGGCCTATCCCTCGAGGTAACAGGGATTTCTTACTTATGCTTATGGATGCCGAAATCCAGGAATATATCTTTGATTTGTTAAATCAACTTATGATGATGGACTGGGAGAACTTTGAATGGATAAATGCCATGCCTGACATGGAAATGGAAGAAATAGACTGGTCGATGATCCTAGATGCTCTAAATCTACCAATTTCAGAGGATGTAACAAATGTATTATTGATGATGTTGACCTCGAGCAGAGAGAACTGGGATCTGTCAAATCTTGATACATCTATGTTGCCTGATCAATTGTCCGAATTACTTTACCTTCTGGAAAGTATCGATTGGGAAAACATTGACCTCATGCAAGCAGTAGACCTCACGAACCTGCCCATACCCGATCAGATCAAAGACATGCTCATGATGATGGCACATATTGACTGGGAGAGTTTTGACTGGATGAACATGGACTTTACACTGATTAGGGAACTCCTGGGAGGATTGATGAACATGGACATGGGAAATGTCGATTGGTCTGAGGTCATTGATCTTTCTGGTTTACCAATATCTGATCAAATGCGAATGTATCTGGAGATGCTGATCGAATTAAACTGGGAAAACGTTGAATGGAGTGATGTCATCGACATTTCAGGTCTTCCAGAACCCATCAAAGCACTAGTAGAAAGAATGATGAGCATGGACTGGGAAAACCTGGATATGACTGAGCTTCCGATGCCAGATGAGTTAAGGATGTACATCATGATGATAACCCAAATTGATTGGGCCAACATTGATTGGACTCAAGTTATCGACTTATCTGGACTGCCTATCTCAGACCAAATGAAATTGTTCCTTGAAATGCTCATGACTATGGATTGGAACAACATGAGTTGGGAACAAATTGATCTGTCAATGATTCCTATGTCCGATCGAGTTAGAGATGTTCTTGAGTTGATGATGCTTGTTGACTTGCAAACTTTTGACTGGGCACAAGTGATTGACCTGTCTGGTCTTCCATTTTCAGACAATACTAAGTTGTTCCTCGAAGAGTTGATGAGGATGGACTGGGAAAACCCTGACTGGAGTGAAATGGACTTCTCGAGACTACCGCTGTCTGAAGAGATGAGAGATATGCTTCAGATGATGTTGACCATGGACTGGAATGAGTTTGATTGGACCCAAGTAATTGATCTTTCTGGACTACCCATCTCTGATCAAATGAAGCTTGCCATTCACTGGATGATGAGAATGGATTGGGCAAACACCGATTGGATGGACGTGGACATGTCTGATTTGCCAATACCGCAGCAGATTATTGATCTCATCCATTTCATGAATGGTATTGATTGGGAAAACTTCGACTGGACCGCCGTCATTGACCTCTCTGGACTACCTTTACCAGAACCACTCAAACCAATCATGGATAAATTGTGGGCGTTTACTACTGCACTGGATGCACTGGTACATGAAACATACTGGAAGTTCATCCACTTCCTAGAGTGGCTAGATTTGCCTTTTCTTCCAGAATTGCCTCGACCTAGACCTCTTGCATTTGTAGGAGACAGTGTGAAGTACATCTGTAAGGACGGTTTTAAACTGATTGGAATGCCGGTCTTGAGGTGTTCAGCTGATGGGTCCTTCAGTGGCATGCGACCGATGTGTATGAGTAAGTATATGTAAATTCAAAAGAAATAATATATAATCCCCGAAGTAATTGTTACAGTTCACTCATAGACAATGGAGATAGTCATTTGCAGATTCCATGTAGCCGTCAGACCTTGGGATGTACTTTCCGATGCTTAATTTGATTTTGTTGTATTAATCGATGTCTGTCTGACATATTTCACATAATTTGCCGGATGGCTTTGTATTACACTGAATTATACCATGCAAATGTTGCGAAAAACGGTATATCATACGGACTAGAACCATTTTTAAAAATCAGATTTAGCATCGATTGTTTTTTTTAATATACTTATACGAATGTTAATAAAGTCTTATGTTTTCTTTTTTTTAAAGGCTTTTTAGAAAACTCACTTCTTTCCTTATCTCTTTTCCAGGAATAAGGCCAACAGAACCCCCACGTCCTACTGAACGGCCCAGACCAACTGGAAGGCCTCGACCAACCGAAAGGCCTACACCCTCAGAACCTTCAAGGACGACTCCTTTCGAATTTACAACAAATGAAGAAAGCACAACCCCCAAAAACAGAGCAACATCTGAATCCTTAACACCAAGGCCATCAGAAGATCCGTGGCCCACACCTACAGAATTTACAACAGAAGTAGAACAAACAACTCAAAATGACAGAGCAACGTCTACACCCTCCCAAACACCTGAAGAATCTACTACAGAAAGATATCAAGGAACTACCATCGATGATGAAGTTACGACTCCAAGATTGGATCTACAAACTACGTCAGAGGCAGCAACAAGTATGGTGGTTACAACCGAGGAAGCTTCGCCTGCACCGACAATACCTGCAGATCCATGTTCTTCGAATCCTTGTGTTTCGGATGTCAACACAGATTGCGTCTCATTGGGTGACACATACGAGTGCCAGTGCCAGGCAGGGTACGCTCGGGATTCAAACGAAACATGTACATGTAAGTAGAGAACTTATTTCCCTTTATCATGCTCAAACTTATCCATGCTTAAAATAACTCACAAGAAATTTGTTAGAATATTGTACGCGTTTGGGAGAACACTGTGAAGCTTTTTTTTCTCTCTTAGACGCGACTGCATCGTTACCTTTGCAATAATCATAGGATTATCGAGGTAGCTTTGACCCAAGCGTTTAATGTACATGAGCTCATGTGATGTTAATTGAAAACATTATTGGTACACTTTGCATTTCCTTTTTGGACGATGTCACTCTCCCATGTCAAAGGCCACGCCCATCATTGACGAGCTCTACGTCAGCAAACGACGCCTCGTCTGTAACGGCCATTACTTTATCTTACATATACTTTTTCATCAAGAACGATATCGCAAGACAATCAAATCAATAAAAATGTACCGATTCTTCCAACAAAAACATCATACAGCAACTCAGCAGTTTGCAGCATTGATTCGAATCACCGAGGTAAATGGCGGAACTGCCTCATTTACAGAAGACCTGCAGGATACAACATCACCAGCTTTCCAGACTCTAGCCGCTGACGTAGAGAACACGGTGAGTAGGGAATGTCTTCTCTTCAAGTTTCTGTCGTTCGTACAAATTAGAGTTCGGCATAATGGCCTACTATCACGCCCAGCTAGCTATAGGTCATTTTAAAATATTTTCAGGAAATTTATCAGTGATAACTAAACCCAATTTACAGCATAAAAATCTGAAATTCTGTACTGTTTTTTTTTTTTTAATTATCATTATTATAATTCTCATTTTTAAATCGTTTATACGTTTATTGTGTTATATCAAGTTCTTTTCAGACGGATCATAATTCTTTGCTACTAGTGGTTGTTTGCCAGCTTATTTACAGACACAAGAGTTTGTATTCAAGTACAAGTACTTAAAATGATTAGCGTGTGTCTTCATCTCTTGATAGCTGGACATGATCTACCTGATGAGCTCTCTTGCTGATTCGTATCTTGGGGCCACCGTAAACGGTTTCTCGAACGGCTCTATCGTTGTGGATTACACCGTCAAATTCAGGAACGAGGAAACCACTATCCCAACGAATACGACCAGCAACACAACGATGCCGACACTGATTGATTCCACAACCGTTGTCGCAGCGTTCACAGAGTCGTTGAAGATGGCGATGGAAATGGGTACTGTCAATGTCAGTATCGATGAGTCATCTGTGATGGTTACTGGTGAGTGCAGATTGATGCGGTTTGTTTGGTCATTCATCAACCCCCATCAGATCGAAGGTCTCGAGACCAGGTCTCGGTCTGAAGACCGTCTCGAAGCCCGTTTTTTCCAGGTCTACTAGGTCTAAGATATCTAGGTCGTGACTACCACACTTATCCCATCCTAAGATTAACATTGTCTCTATCGAGAGTGGTTTCCAATAAAACAATAGGGACATATTACAAGTTTGGAATGAAAGAACGGTATTAAACTTAACTTTCAACAGATTTCAGTTACTCATGCATTTTCATTTATGTCCACCTGGTAGAAAAAGTACATTTCGACATACTGATGTTCATAAAATAATCCTCAATCCTATTTGAATATAAAATTAATAGATGTCAAACTGTTTTCACTAAGAAAGATTACTCTATTCATTAGATCTGGATGAATGTAATTCCCGAGATGACAATAACTGTGATGACGATGCTGATTGCATAAACACTGAGGGATCGTTTACCTGCCGCTGTCGTGAAGGTTTCATCGATCTTTCACTAAATATCCGTGATCAACCAGGCAGGAGATGTTCTCGTAAGTATTAATATTCTAAGATGGCGGACAAATTAAATATTGTCGTGTTTCAATGATGCCAAGAAAACTAAAAAGATTATTATTGTTGTTAATGATAATAATAATATTTAGCTATTATATAGCGCTTAATATAATGTCTCTATTGATGATTTGAATAAAGGTGCTCTGTCCGACATAGTTGTTCCAGTGACAATTACTGCGGGATTTATTTCATGAAAATAAAGGGTTAGGGTAGGAGTAGCAAGTAGGTCTTGTGCTAGGCTAAGGGTTAGGTATAGACTTTGGTCTAGAGTTGAAGTTAAGAATTCGGTTATTTTATGAAATTAACCACGGAGCAATTGTCGCCTGAACAAGTATCGTACACCCGACTAACAAACTGATACTTGGTAGAAATGTGGAAACCAAAAGGAAGACCAGTGCTTTCTTTTAACAAACATGAATTATCCACTATTTTATATACATGACTTATTCTGTATGCTGCAGACACATTCAGGTGGTAGGCTTTATAATACTATCATCTACTTCATATACACAGCACCAGTCACGACCCCCTGTTCCAGCAACCCGTGTGCCTATGCTCGGGCAGAATGCATCGTTGTTGGCAGATCCTTCCAGTGCGTATGCCGACCAGGATTTTCTTTTAACACCGATGGTGTTTGCGAATGTAAGTTTAAACTGGTTCTCCCAAATAGATGCACATGAACATGATGATAGTAGAAAAGTATTTCGCAAAGTCTCGATAACACAAAGTGCAAGCCACTTGTGGATAAAGGCCTTTGCATTTAGTCGAAGACTGCGATATATTGTCAGAGCTCTGAGGTACAACAAGTTTCTAAATTGGAGTTGCGTTTATATAATGGCATGCTTTTAGACAAATATCTTCCAAAGTTGCAGATTTACGCAGTTATGACAGTTCATGTTTCGAAAACGATCGTCATTGTGATTAGATCTCAAATTTCAACCGTATTCCGTTCTAGATTCTTGAAGTAAAAAGTGCAGTTAACATTTTTGACAGTTGAATCTGATTGAAGGAAATATTGCGTACATATTATGTAATCTTCAACATCCCATATCATTTATTTTTCATAGTGACCTGTGGTCCTTTCCCCTATCCACCACGACATGGATACGCCATCCTGTTCGACAACCGCCCACCGGGCATGAAGACACCGACGACTCCAGGTGGAATGAAAGGAAACGAATCCACACCTGGCTGGGAATGGCCTGTCACGAGAGATCTATTCGGAGATGAATTCACCACGGCATTCAATGACTTGTGGAGAGAGGATGAGTCTGGTAACATCGGTGATATAGCATCTCAAATCGGAAGTCTGAATTTCCCTAACTTTGGAGTTGGGAACCCATTTGAGGAAACAACCGATTCGCAAGGAGCAACGGCAGATTCGGGAAATGGCGGTTTCTTTGGTGGCCTACCAAATGTCGACGTGCCTAATGTGGACATACCCAATGTCGATATGCCAGCAGTTGGTATCCCTAACACGGGAGCAACGCAGGTGACACAACAAATCTTGGACATAGTAATGGGTATTGATTGGCAGAATACTGATTTCGAAGTACTTCGTAGAATAATCGAGGCAGTTCTTGAACTCGTCACTAACACACTCTGGGGAGACGGTGATCATTCCGACATAGATTGGATGAATATGAATACAACGGTTTTAACTGGTATGATTCCAACTATTGATAACCGTACGCTAAATCTTATTAGCGCCATCGGAAGAGAGTTTCTATCCAATATGAACCGGTCTGATGTTAACTGGGAAGCATCTATGGCTGCATTAAACTCACTTCTTCCTCAAGGTCTACCCACAATCCAGTTGTCAACGGATGGGAGTTCCGATTTCATACTTAATTGGAATGGCTTTAATTTGACAGCACTACCTTTGCCAGATATCTTCAGACAGGCAATCACAATGGTCATGGATTGGCAGAATACCAACTGGAGCTACATCAATGCGATTCCAGAATTCATCAGGGAACTGATCGAACTCTTCCTAACAACAGACATGGAAAATATAGGAGCCGACGATATACTGCCTATACTACCCATTCCAGATGTTTTTAGAGATATGATCACAATGGCAATGAATTTTGACTGGGAGCGGATGAACATGACGGGAATCAATGATTTGCCAGTACCTACCTCAGCAGCGGATTTGATCGCTATAGTCACTCGTATTTTGCGTCAGAATCCCATCGACTGGAGTCTTCTCCGAAACTACACCGGCGTGGACTTGATGAACTTGTATAGCATAACTTTGACAGATATGCCAATACCGGAGGCACTGCGTCCTTTCCTTTCCGGCTGGAGTGATTTTAACATGACTGATATTCCTTACGTCGAGTTACTACGACCTTATCTCGAAAGCTTGATGAATATAGATTGGAAGAACTTTGAGGGGAACAGCACAGATTTCAGAAATATGAGTCTACCAGATTCCTTCCGGAACATTCTAGAATTTATAGTTTCAACAGACTGGGAAAACCTTGACACTACGGTTCTTGAGAGCATCATGCCAGCATCAGTCCAAAACATTCTGTTCATTGCAAGACACTTGGATATGACTAATCTTGAATTGATGGAGTTCTCGTTGCCTCTATTACCATTGCCAGAGAACGTAAAGTCCTGGATAGAGATGGCAATTAATTTTGACATGCAAGACATCGATTTTAATCAAATGAATATGACCGCTCTTCTTCCCGACGAATGGAGGGAATACCTAATGATGTTGATGAATATAGACTTGGAAAGCATCCGCTTGATCAATGTTACGGATTTCCTAATGCCTTCGCAAGTTCGGGAGTTTCTCCTTCTTCTAAATGGTACAGATTGGTCAGGTATTGATATAGACAGCATACTGTCACTGATGATGGAAATGGGCTGGGAACTTCCTGATGGCTTCGACTTCTTACAAATGTTAAATCAGTCGATACCGCAGAACGTTCAAGAAATGCTACAACCATTTATCCTCATTGACTGGGAAAACTTTGACTGGACTAACCAGAACATCACAAATCTTCCCATTCCTCCTGCTGCCAGCCGATTTCTCATAATGGTGATGAGGACAGAGTGGGAGAATATCAACTGGGACCAGATTGATCTGTCTGCTCTCTCAATCCCAGACGAGGTCAAGAGTTTTATATTTACCATGACAAACACGCGATGGGATGCTGTCAATTGGACTGGAATGGTGGAAAATTGGCCTATCCCTCAAGGTAACAGGGACTTCTTACTTATGCTCATGGATGCCGAAATCCAGGAATATATCTTTGATTTGTTAAATCAACTTATGATGATGGACTGGGAGAACTTTGATTGGATAAATGCCATGCCTGACATGGAATTGGAAGAAATAGACTGGTCGATGATCCTAGATGTTCTAAATCTACCAATTTCAGAGGATTTAAAGAATGTATTATTGGTGATGTTGACCTCGAGCAGAGAGAACTGGGATCTGTCATATCTTGATACATCCATGCTGCCCGATCAATTGTCCGAATTCCTTTACCTTCTTGAAAGTATGGATTGGGAAAACATTGACCTCATGCAAGCAGTAGACCTCACGAACCTGCCCATACCTGATCAGTTGAAAGACATGCTCTTGATGATGGCACAGATTGACTGGGAAAGTTTTGACTGGATGAACATGGACTTTACACTGATTAGGGAACTCCTGGGAGGATTGATGAACATGGACATGGGAAATGTCGATTGGTCTGAGGTCATTGATCTTTCTGGTTTACCAATATCTGATCAAATGCGAATGTATCTGGAGATGCTGATCACATTAGACTGGGAAAACGTTGAATGGAGTGATGTCATCGACATTTCAGGCCTTCCAGAGCCTATCAAATCACTGGTACTAAGAATGATGAGCATGGACTGGGAAAACATGGATATGACTGAGCTCCCGGTGCCAGATCAGTTAAGGATGTACATCATGATGATTACCCAAATTGATTGGGCCAATTTTGATGTGACTCAGGTTATCGACTTATCTGGACTTCATATCTCAGATAAAATGAGATTGTTCCTTGAAATGCTCATGACTATGGATTGGAACAACATGAGTTGGGACCAAATTGATCTGTCAATGATTCCTATGTCCGATCAAGTAAGAGAGGTTCTTGAGTTGATGATGCTTGTTGACTGGCAAACTTTTGACTGGGCACAAGTGATTGACTTGTCTGGTCTTCCATTTTCAGACAATACTAAGTTGTTCCTCGAAGAGTTGATGAGGATGGACTGGGAAAACCCTTACTGGAGTGAAATGGACTTCTCGAGACTACCGCTGTCTGAAGAGATGAGAGATATGCTTCAGATGATGTTGACCATGGACTGGAATGAGTTTGATTGGACCCAAGTAATTGATCTTTCTGGACTACCCATCTCTGATCAAATGAAGCTTGCCATTCACTGGATGATGAGAATGGATTGGGCAAACACCGATTGGATGGACGTGGACATGTCTGATTTGCCAATACCGCAACAGGTTATTGATCTCATCCATTTCATGAATGGTATTGATTGGGAAAACTTCGACTGGACCGCCGTCATTGACCTCTCTGGACTACCTTTACCAGAACCACTCAAACCAATCATGGATAAATTGTGGGCGTTTACTACTGCACTGGATGCACTGGTACATGAAACATACTGGAAGTTCATCCACTTCCTAGAGTGGCTAGATTTGCCTTTTCTTCCCGAATTGCCTCGACCTAGACCGCTGGCGTTTGTAGGAGACAGTGTGAAGTACATCTGTAAGGACGGTTTTAAACTGATTGGAATGCCGGTCTTGAGGTGTTCAGCTGATGGGTCCTTCAGTGGCATGCGACCGATGTGTATGAGTAAGTAAATGCAAATATAAAAGAGATTAATATATAATTCTCCGTTTAAGAGTTACAGTTCACTCATAAATTGTTTAGCTTGTCATTTGCATATTTTCTTTAGATTGTGGGATTTACTTCTTGATGCTGAATTCGATTTTGTGATATTTAAAGAGTTCTTTCTGAAATATTTCCCATAATTTGCCGGATGACCTTGTGTTACACTGATTAAATAAAAGTTGAAACATCCATCTCTACAGCTTATGTTCGTTTTAATTAAGAGAGAGTGCATTTCTTACTACAAATAGTCTGTATCCAAATGTAGGAAGTGCATATATATTAGACTTTGGTGATGTATTTATATCAAGTAAAAATTTGGTGTAGAGGTTTTCGCAGATTGTAGACTTAACAAAATACTTGAAATGAAATGGATGATTTTTGTTTTATAAAAACATACTTTATATTTAAAGCATATTTTGTTCCAATCAAACTAGAAATTATCCCAACGCGACCACCTCGACCGACACGCCCTCCTCGTCCAACACGCCCCACCATGCGACCAAGGCCCACCCTACCGCCTTTTGAACCGACAACTGACTTCGCCTTCACCACATCTGATTTCATGATGTCTACCACTGAGGAGTCAACACCAAAAGATCCGTGTGCTTCCCTCCCCTGTGCGTGGGATCCCAATACTGTCTGTGTCTCGAGGAATGACATGTTCATGTGTCGATGCCAGGCGGGATATTCTAGGAACTCCGATGACATTTGCATTTGTAAGTTTTTCGAGAAAAAAAATTTCGTATCAGAAAGTTTATCACATTCTAATGATCAATAGGACAAAATAGGGTGAGCTAATTAATGATTATGTTTGAGTTAAAAATTTAGACAAAACGTGACCTAATGGGTAAACTACAATATCACTTGTTTAAACCATTGTACCATGTCGAATATGGCTATCAGTTGATCCATAACTTTCAATATCCCATTGGTGAGTATCTTAAAGTTTACCAAATGGATGCCTTTTAATTCTTATCACATAGTTACACAGCAATACGTAGGGGCAATTCGTATCACTGAGACTAAAGGAAGACCAGCCTTGTTCACGGAGGATTTACGGGATAGAGAATCGTTTGCCTTCCGGACTCTAGCTGTTGACGTAGAGAACACGGTAAGTGTCTTATGCTGTGCCTTGTAAGATATCTCCCATTGTATCATTTACTGATCTGTGGATCAGTAAATGTAAATTCTGTGGAACTAAACAAAGAAATATACTTTTACCAATTTACCTATTTATGCCAAGCATTTTTTGTAAGTAACTTCCTCCAATATCGTTCCCTTTTACAGGTGAACATGGTTTATAAGACGAGCTCGCTCGCCAGACTGTACTTGGGATCTGAGATCAATAGCTTTGCCAACGGTTCTATCGTCGTAGACTATACTGTCCTATTCATAAACGAAGGAGTGGTGACAAATGCAACAACACCCAGGATTGATTCGTCTATGATCACCAGTGCATTTATGGAATCACTCAGAAGTGCAATCGAGATGGGGACTCTTAACATCACCATCGACGAATCTTCTGTTTCGGTCACTGGTAAATTACGGACAATGAAAAGCATGAAAAGCATGAAAAGCATGAAAAGCATAACAAAATACTTGTGATTGGGGGTGTACGTTTACCTCAAAAATACAAAACTTGTTGACAAGTGAAGTGCAAGAAACACGTGCAAAGACAGAAGAGGAGGTAGAATATAATAAAGATAGGATGGAATATATAAGTCCTCTGTATTTTCCTTTTTGATAATATAATATTATAAACAGAAGTAGAATCGTTTAAGGAACAACGTCTTTCGTCAATTGTACTCAACTGATGCACCAACCAAAGGACCATGACTTGACATAGATTCATCGGTTTTTTGTTTTCCTTTTGTCTGTAGATCTTGATGAATGTGCCTCAACCAATGACAATGACTGTGATGGTGATGCTGTCTGCGTCAACACTGAGGGATCGTTCAACTGCCGGTGTGAAAACGGTTTCATTGATCTTTCTCTAAACATCCGCGATCGACCTGGCAGAAACTGTTCTCGTGAGTGGGATCCTTTGGATAGGATTTTTTATCAAATAAAATCCCCTGATATCAACAAAATATTGATGTTTACATTTTAATCTTCAGTTATGTGAATAATCAACTGTCATATGAAACTGTCTATATGTATTTATTATTATCATCTCGGTTTTTTTTTTTTTTTTTTTTTATAATTTTTTTTTTTTTTTATTTATTTATTTATTTTTTATTTATTTTTTTTTTGGGGGGAGGGGATGTCCCCGTCTCATCTCCGTCCTAGTACAGCACATTTTCTTTTATTGGAATATATTGTGTACCCTTGTTGTAGGTGCCCACGCATGATCCTCTTATTTCCTTCACTCTTTTGTTCCTGCTCTTACTCTAGGCCTATTACCTTCGACCTAATCTACTAGCATATTTCACTCAGATAAACATTTGAAGCTACATCTATTTAATCTGGGGAAAGATACCTACAAACCTAAGGGTAGGGGTGAAAAATACAGTTCGAAAGAGAAATTAACATGTGAGAAGGAATAATAAATTTGTTCAGCTACAGGAATGTAATATATATATATATATATATTGTTTTTCTTTATACAGGAGATACGATGTCACCACGTCCTACCAAAAGACCTACGCCAACGCTTCCACAAAGAGAACGAACAACAGACTTCTTTGAGGAAACAACGATTTCGGCAGAAGTTACAACTCTAGACTCAGGGCAAACAACGATACGTGATTCAACAACCAGGGACCCACAACGACCTGTTACAGAGCGGCCCAATGAAGTTACAACGGATGACATTGATATTGCCACTACCCGTGGGTCGGAAGTGACAACCCTCCAGACAACACGAGAAACTGAGCAACCAGAACGCAGTACAGACTCAAGTACCGAATCACAGGCCCAGTCTACAGAAGCAACAACTGTGGAAAAGTATTTAACCACAAAAGAAGACAAACGAATGGAAACGACTGACAGTATCGATTTCGAAACGACTGCTTCCACAACTGTTGAAGCTACTACACAAGCTGCGCAAACAACAAAGATGACGACCGAAGAAAAAATGGTAAGACAAACTACAGAGGATCTGTTCGAGACCACACCGAGCGACATGGTCACAACTCAACCATTGATAACGACAGAACTTGCTTCAACTGAAGGTCGCCAGACAACTATAGAAGCTAAGGAAACGACTCCGAATCGCATGTCTACAACGCAAACCCCTCAAACAACAACAATGACAACTGAAGAGAAAATGGTAAGACAAACTACAGAGGGTCTCTTTGAGACGACTGATGTTGCTACAACGCTAGCGGGTAAACAAACCACACCAAGCGACAGGGTCACGACTCAACCAGTGGCCACAACAAAACTTGCTTCCACTGAAGGTCGCCAGACAACTATAGAAGCTAAGGAAACGACTGCGAATCGCATGACTACAACGCGAGCCCCACAAACAACAAAAATGACAACTGAAGAGAAAATGGTAAGACAAACTACAGATGATCTATTCCAGACGACTGATGTTGCTACTACACAAACTGGAAAACAAACAACATTGAGGATGACAATACAACCAGATGTCACAACAAAAACTGCTACAACTCAAAATGTCCAAACTACACCTCATGGTGTTACAACAGAGAGCAAACAGTCAACTACTGTTGAGGAAACCACAAAAGTACCAACTACTGACGCTGCTACGACACGTGTCACTACAGAGGAAACGACGGAAGCCGCCACGACTGTAGTTGTAACGACACGCGCAACAACAGCAGCTGCCACGACTATGTCACATTCGACCGATGCCACGAACAGTGCTACCACACTAGATGCTACAACTGAAGCTCAGACGAAGGTAGCCACAACTCCAGTAGATCCATGCTCTTCTAGTCCCTGTGTTTCTGATGTAAATACCGATTGCATCACGACAGGTGATTCGTTCGTTTGTCAATGCCTAGCAGGATACACCAGGGACGCAAATAACAGTTGCATATGTAAGTAACGTAACTATAAACTGAACTCTTCATATGTTGTACGAGCTATGTACCTTACACCTTTCTAAATAATAATACTTGTAGTGTTTATAGGCGGTTCATATATAATGCTTGCCAATGTATTTTAATGAACCTGTAATGGCAGTTGGGTTCTTTGAATGTCGACCAGAGAGAGTTAGAGAGAGTCCTTCGAGAGCTTTGATCCTTCATTGAAACTTGAAAAGAGCCCCTTTACTTGATATCAATTAACATCTGACAAAGCGTCATGATGAATGATATCTTTGTTTATCTATGATCTAACAGCTATCCAACAGTTTACAGTAATGATTCGAATCACTGAGGTCAACGGCGGAACGGCCGACTTCACAGAGGATCTGCAGAATACAACATCACTTGCTTTCCAGACTCTAGCCGCTGATGTTGAAAATACGGTAAGAAATACTACTCTTTAAAATAATGTTTTGATATCAAATTTTGACATTCTTCTTCCACTTCTTCGTTCCATTTTACAGGCCTAGGATGAAACTGCCTTTTTACTATACTGCTTATAGGACTAATTCTAAAGATAATTCTCATTGACGCGGTTGTGGGTTTGAGAAGTCTTGATGCTGTTGATCATAGCAACATCTGTGGCCTTTGTTAAACTGCCACTCCCCCTCCCAACTCATGACTGTTAGCCCTATGCTTTCTAGTTAATTTTTTTAAAAATATTTTGTTTAATTTAATATACAGCTGGATATGATCTTTATGATGAGTGCGCTCGCGGACACCTATCTCAGTGTTACCATCAACGGATTCAGTGAAGGTTCCATCGTTGTTGACTACACTGTCAACTTCAAGACTGAGGAACCTGTCATGAACGCGACCAGTAATTCCACATCTCCGTCATCTACGTTCATCAACTCGACGTTGGTCATGACCGCCTTTACGGACTCCTTGATGATGGCGATGGAGATGGGGATTATCAACGTAACCATCGATGAGATGTCTATTATGGTGACAGGTAAGCTGAATGATCAAATGTTACTCTTAACCCAGAAGCTTCTGGGTGTAGGAAACTTTCACGAAATTTTCGAACAGGTCAGGTTTCAAAAGTTTCATGCAGCAAAAACCTCAGTCATTGACTATTTTAAACAGTTTCTGGTTTTGCAATTTTGCTTTTCTTATGTGTCAAACTAAGATTAGTATTATCTTAGAGGAATATTTTCTTTGCATCTTCAGTTTGGTATCAGATTGATATTATTTCGAGTGACCCACAAACTTCTAGCTTTTGATGGTTATCTTTGGATATATAAATTTGAATATTAGGGCGGTCATTTATATTTGACAAAGTGGCGTAGCGTGGTCCTAGCATGGAGGGACACTGGTCAGGCTAGTCGGGTGAAAATCGAATTAACATAGCCATCGATAAGAGGTGGTATTATAAGGGGTCGTATCATTGCCACGTCCTACTGCCCCTCTCTATCTCTTTTTTACTATTCGATGGAGGGAGGGACATGCACTCGTGCATCCCCCGGTCTATGCTCATACTCAAATCCTATTTTGATCCCTCCTACCAGATCTGGATGAGTGTGCATCGTCAACGGACAATAACTGTGACCAGGATGCCACGTGCACAAACACAGAGGGGTCATTCACCTGCGAGTGTAATGTTGGATTCCTCGACCAGTCTTCAAGCCTCCCCGGCAAACCCGGGAGACTTTGTGTTGGTAAGTTGCTGGACCTGCTTCTAAGATTATCCATGACCTCACTGCCATTATCTTTTTTGTTAAAGAGTTACCTTACCATGCGCAAAAAGTTGTGACAAGGTACGCCTCTTGTCTCTGCTGTAAGACGAAATCTCTTGAGGATTATAGAGTTGACGATGAAGCAACACAAAACATCCCTGTGAGAACCGCAGTTAGTAATAAATTATTTGGTGTGATATCAGGGAATAATGCGTTAATCATAATAAAATCATTCACCATATTTTCCTAGTCATCTTGTACTTTGAAATTTTGTATTTTGACCAATATGTTGGACGATTTTTAAACATCTTGCATTTGTCTTTACTTTCCTATTTCAAATCCATGTGATGTTCACAAGAGTTTGATATCCTGTCTATTATCTCATTTTTATTTTTATATTATATTTATTTTTTATCTTAGCACCAACAACACCTCCCGCTCCTACAGCGGACCCCAATATGACCACGCCCACAACTCCACGTCTTCCTACGACCACGCCAACAACACCACGTCCATCTACCTCTCTTGGTGATCCATGTTCATCTGACCCATGCGCCAGTGTCGCCCATTCGACCTGCGTGGTGATTGGTTCGACGTACGAGTGCCAATGTCGACCCGGATTCACTCTTAATAACAGAGGCCGTTGTAGACGTGAGTTTGTTTTTTAAATTGTCAGTGTATTTATTTTTCAAAAAGGCTACGGCCTATTTTTGGAAACTGTAATGTAAATCTCTAATCCTCTAATTACAGTTCTCGCTTTTTGTTCGATTAAATGTCAAATTACATCAACAAAATTGATATTGGTCAATAATTACGCCAGCTATATTCATTTTGTTTCCAACATTCTAAACGTCGAATTATCGAATTAAGTTAAAGATAGTTTTTTTTAATATCATTCTATCATACTTTCAAGAAGCTGCTGAATGAAATATGTATGTAATATACGATATGTGAATCATTGTGTTTATGAATGGTTGTCAGTGAAGACCATACAATCCACGTGTTATCAGTACTATAATCAAAGAACGGATTTCACCTGAACTGTTATTGTGCTTAGGTTTCCTTTTATAATTGTTCATACAAAAAAACAATTAAATCATCCCCTAACGTTAATCATTTCGAATTCTCAAACTTGTCTTGATCACCAAACAGATGTCAACCAGTTCGTTGGTAGCTGCAGAATCACTCGATTCCGAGGAGTAAAGGCGTCCTTCATTCAAGAACTGTCCAGCAGTACTACTCAGGAGTTTGTAGCTCTCGCTGCAGACCTGAGGGAAACGGTAAGCGAATAAGTTGCATATGTAAATATGAACATTATTTTGTAGCCCTTGCGGTAGACAGACTTTAGGGAAATTCTTGAATGAATTGGTTTGAAGCTCCCCACATCAGATGTTAAGGAAATTCAAGTGAATAATAATTAGTTTATAGTTCTTGCGGCAGCAGATTGACCCTAAGTAAAGGGTAAGTGAATGATAAGTGGACTTAGTATGAGCATGAAAAGGAAATAAAGTAACAGCAAATATAAGAAAAGTTATGTATCATATAGATAGGAAAGTCATTTTCAAAATGTCACTCTTTCTGTTTAAAGAAAAATCTATTTCATCAACTTAGTAATAATTTAACACGATAAATGAAAACAAATCAAATGAAAAGAAAAATTGAACTTTATAATTCATTCATATAGTATAAAACTATTCTGTATAAAAATCAATTATTTTCACAATAATATGATGCCATTATCATCCCTTAAATCCTCCCATATGTCATTCAGTTTCATTTGATTATAAGAAAATATCAGTTATATCGTATAGATTTAGTATCGCTTCAGTGTTATATCCACTTTGCTCTAAACAGCTGAGGACAATCTACCAATACAGCATGGTTGCTGATCGTTACATCAATATCGTGGTCGACTCTTTCCGTAACGGTTCTATCGTGGTCGATTACCGAGTCGAGTTAGAGGAAGATAATACCACGTCGGCGAACTCGTCGAGAGTTTCAGCAGCCTTCACGCAATCACTAGAGCAGACTGTTCAGAACGGAATCGTTGATGTCGATATTGATGAGAATTCCATCACTGTCCATGGTTCGTGTCTTAACATCTATTATTATATCTATTATGGATGCAAATGTACTTGATTGGTAGAAGGCCTACAATATGAATTACAATGCCCTTACACAAATCTAGGTTAAGTAGTGTTTTTGCACAGTAATTCCCAAAGACGTTTCTTATCTTCAAATAGAATATTAAATTGTAGATGTCTTACTAATATAGAATCCATTTTTTTAAGTAAGTCTATATATATATATATATATATATATATATATATATATATATTGGTTCTACAATACATGTTCTGGCGACTATTGATCCGCGCTCAAAATAATCCTACACTAACCGGATTCATTACTTTAACCCTGAACCTAACTCTACCTAACCATAACAATAATCTTAAACTTAACATAAACCCAAATAAAAACACTAACCCTATCATTTTGACGAAATAAATCCTAGCTGTAATAAAAGTGGAGACACCGCTGGCAGTGCTTTAAATATCAGATTTAGGAGGCAGTTCACTACATTACACAATTGGGAGACATCTTTGAATTTGAAAAGTGTGTTGTGGAGACACCGTTTAGTAAAAAGAGAGGATCTTTAAAATTGTTGGAGGGGGGGGGGGTAGTAAAAGTAGAGACCTTAACAAATTTGTTTAACGTCTAATGGTCTAATTTCTCTTACAGATTACAACGAATGTCTCTCCGCCGATGACAATGACTGCGCAGACAATGCTGAGTGTATCAATACAGAAGGTTCATTCACATGTCGCTGTAATGATGAACTCATTGATATATCACCAGATCCTAACAGCGACCCAGGAAGACTTTGCAGAGGTGAGGATATTATTAAAAAATGATTCTCATAATTGATTTCCCTGTTCTTCCTCAACTGATCTCCGATAGCATTATGCTGCCCACAATACGATCTTGAATGATTTGGTTCTTTGATTTGCATATGAACTGAGCAATGATAACTAAGCGAAGGTATGGCATGCCAATCGCGCGTCCGGAAATAAAGTTATTTTACGGATATGCCACCGATTTAGTACCGCAAAGTAATGCGGTACACTGTGTTTTCTGCTTTAATTATTAGCTTTTTTTGCAGCGTTTCCTCCGACAGTAATGGGTACAGAATAATAATTCAAATTTGTTGTCGAGTTGAAGCATCTCACATAGACTAGATCTAATTGATACATGTACTTAGGAAGTTAAGTAATTCTCTCCTGACCATCTAAAACTTTGTTTCTGTTGGAGTCAATCAATAAGATATTTATTGCTGATAGATTTAATTGAGTTTGAGTATACAAGTGAAGACCACTTGGATGATGCAAACAGGGAGTATTTAATCTTATATTAACATATTGGTTTTATCTGCAGAACCCGGACCTTGTCCGTCCGACCTACCTCACACATGCTCACCAGGAGCTATCTGTATGGAACATGCTACTGATGGGTATGTCTGCCAATGTTTGAACGAGTTTCAGGATGTCTCTCCATTCCCATCTCTGCCAGGGAGGATCTGTGAAGGTATGTAGTCCTACCGTCACCATCAAAACCTACATACCACGCATGTTTTAGATTTTTGGTCGTCAATTTGAGCATTGTCAAAGTTATGTATCATGTTGGCCATCATCATTGTCATTATCATGAACATGAAAACATTGAAACATCTTCATGGTTATACTGTCATGATCACCATCATTACCATCATCAACATCATCATCATCATCATCATCATCATCATCATGACCACCACCCCTACCACAACATTAACGATAAAAACTAACAGTTTCAACGTTGCCATTATCACGTTGATATTGTTATCAACTAAATGTGTAACTATAGTTCCTGTATGCCCCCAATCACCATCGCCATATCCAAATATATCCTTGTTTTCATCATTGGTACCATCATTATTTGCCACAACTATTAAAATGGCTTCTATAAAAATATATATATATATATATATATATATATTTTTAATCCAACTATTCAGTCATTACATTTGTTCTTTTTCAGAAATTTGTCCAGATGGATTCTGCGAAAATGGAGGAACATGCAAAGCTTCGGCAAGTGGATCTCTCTGCAAGTAAGTAATGACGTCGTGAATGCGATATTGCCTTATGAGATGTCAGGCGGTCCTAATAGATTCCACATATTTCATGTGCAATACAGAAATTCATAATAAGGACAATTTCACATTAATTACTTTACTGGACGTATATATTGTAAGAGTGCCTCTTTTGATATAACACAACCCTTCCGAAGAATTTACGCTTGTCCAGGTTATGTTCAAGCCTTATTAGTCGGTGAATCACATGACATGATATGATATTTATTTGAACATGAAGTACAATCTGACGAAGATACAAAATTTGTTCCATACAAATTTATTTCTACATCTGGGTGCCAAATGAATTGATAGAATGGGCTAGAAAGTCAGTGAAGTCACTAGCATGATCACAAGTTAAGTAAATGTTGTTTTCTTTGTTTCAGCTGTGCTGGCGGGTACTCTGGAACACAGTGTGAAATAGGGCCTTCAGGTAAGTGACTGAAAGTCAAAAAAGTGTGTTCGGTAATATTTCGTTATCTTAAATATATATTGCACATCTAATGAAGTATTAACGTATAGTTTTGCGGGTTTTGTTTTATCTTTTCACTGAGTTTCGTTGGATTTGCCTCCGACCTTCGTATATGACCTATATGAACTTTGTCTTCTTTAGCTTATATAGTGCAAGATTTTCATTACTTTTGAATAGAATAGTTTTGTGTTAAGTTAGATGGTATAAAACTTAAATGAAGGCAATGCGGGCCATTTTTAATACCAAACGTCAGTACCCCTCGAATACTCTGTTTAACTTGTACATGCAAATGCGTAGAAGGTGTGTATGTATAGGTGAGGGGATGAGGGGCACATGTCACCAATGGGCTGTAACCCGTCTGAGATTATTTAAAGTCGGAATATATACCCTCACTTCATATTCATGCAGCAAAATGTATAACTCTGTATAGCTTTTCTAGTATACTTTGACGATTTAAATAACATTCGATTTGTTATAAAGTAACCGACATTTAGGTAACCGACATCAGCTCCTCGCCCCCCCCCCCCCCCCTCCATCCTTTCCCGGCGAAATTGGGCCTGAGTGCCCTAGTTTACATGGTATCCCAAAAGGCAATTTTGAGGCCTTGTCATCACGTATTGAATAGGTCACTTGAGTTGATTTCTTGAAAGTCTTTGGGATCATGTTTTCTACAAAAAATGATGTTTGTTGTTCTTTCCAGGTCGTCTCCATGCTCTTGAGATCCTGGGCATCGCTCTCGGTTCCGTGATCTTCGTCGTCCTCGTCCTCGTCCTCACAGTCTTCTGCTGCGCCATCAGCAGGAAAGAGAAACGATACAGAGACTCTTCTAAACGCCGCCGTGGTCATGGAAACTCACGACCTCGCTTCTTCCACGATCCGGATTGGGATCCCATTGATGAGCGTAGCGAGGACTCGCTGTCGAACGCAGCCTACGATGTAGCAGCGAGCACTAGTGCTATGATGGTGGAGGATGAAGAGAGGAGCCAGCGGATCGCTGGTTCTATGGGACAGCTACCAGAATTCGAAGTAAGTCCTCCTCCTCCTCCTCCTCCTTTTCTTTTTTTTCTTCTTCTTGTTTTTCTTCTTGCTTTTCTTCTTATTTTTTCTCTTCTTCTTCTTGTTTTTTCTTCTTGTCTTTCCTCTTCTTCTTCTTCTTCTTTTTCAGATTCCTGTCCATCTCCTCCTTCTTCTCTTTCTCCTCTCTCTTCTTATTCTTGTCAACATGTACGATATGTATTATTCAAACATTGGAATACTCGGTGAAACGAAAAAAAGATGGTTTATTTCATCAGTTATTTACATCCTACAATTTCAGTAACTGCGCAGAATTTAGTACTGCACTTACTTCTCGTCAAGTCAAGTGATGTTGTGCGGCCAGTGTTAGTCGGTCCCCTAGTGCTTGATGTCCAGGTATAAGTCCAGGGGAGTGTTTCACAAATACTTAGATCGACTTTAAGCTGGACTTAACTATGGTAGGCCGTTCATGCTACCGTTTGTTCTCACCATTATGATCTTTAGGATATTTTTTTCCTTCAATAAATGAATTATCAAAAAATTGTAAATTCTTTATATTTGTGACCATGATTTGTAAGTCCCTTGGGAGACCAATGCCAGTAAATGGTGAGAGCAAACAGTGGCATGAATGGCATGTCCTAGTTCAAGTCCTAGTCGATCTCAGTCTTTGTGAAACACCCCCTGGTCTCTTCCCTGAGACCTTATGCTCAAATGAATATAGGCATAATCAAAAATATTCCTCCTCCTGTTGGTCTGGAGACCGCATTATAGTGACGAATTTGTACATCTGATGATTTCGTCAGATCTTGACTTATGTTTTATTTATGTTTGAATAGTTCAAAATGAGGATTTTGTTTTCATTTATTATTGCCAGAAATGTCCCGGATTCGCTTAAGCTTATCATTCAAATGTGATCCCCAAAATAGAAATGTAACATCGAATTTAAATTGTTTTAAACATTTTTAAATCATTTAATTCTCTTTTGCCTGCAGTCTTCGATTCATCGCATCAGCAACCAGCCGGTATACTACGCCCGTCAGCAACCCAGACTACTAGACATGGGTGCTACTGAATTCAGAAGACCATACGTCGCTTCTGGTGATGAGGTATGCATCTTCAAAACTTGAGTGAAAAGAAAGAGTTCATATTCTTATGAAACTATGTCGTTAGTCCCCGCGTTAGTCATCGAAACACATCAGTACCCTCCTTTTGAGTAAATTTACTGTAATCAGGGGCGTAAATCCCGGGGGATGGGGGGGGGCTGCATCCCCCTGGCTTGAAGTAGGGGGGGGGTGGCCTGTACAATCACCCCCCTGATATTACCCAAAAAAAAGAGAGGAAAAAAAAGGAAGAACAAGATGAAAAAAATGTGATTGTTTCAATTGCAGCATAATAAGGAAAACGATAAGGAAACGTCAAGGCTTCCGCGCTTCGCGCGAGAGGGGGAAACTGAATTCAGATAAATATGGCTTATTAAGAGTCGAAAACGGTGCAACGAATCGTCTTCTTTCTATAATAAATAAATCAAACGTCTAAGCTTTTCGCGCTTCGCGCGGGAAGGGGAAACTGAATTCAGACGAGAATTAAGAGTCGAGAACAGTACACCCAATCGTCTGCTTTCTCTAAAAATTTAAGGAAACGTCAAGGCTTCCGCGCTTCGCGCGAGAGGGGGGGAACTAAATTAAGATAAATAGGGCTTATTAAGAGTCGAAAACGGTACAACGAATCGTCTGCTTTCTCTAATAATTTAATGAAACGTCAAAGCTTCCGCGCTTCGCGCGAGAGGGGGAAACTGAATTCAGATAAATATGGCTTATTAAGAGTCGAAAACGGTGCAACGAATCGTCTTCTTTCTATAATAAATAAATCAAACGTCTAAGCTTTTCGCGCTTCGCGCGGGAAGGGGAAACTGAATTCAGACGAGAATTAAGAGTCGAGAACAGTACACCCAATCGTCTGCTTTCTCTAAAAATTTAAGGAAACGTCAAGGCTTCCGCGCTTCGCGCGAGAGGGGGGAACTAAATTAAGATAAATAGGGCTTATTAAGAGTCGAAAACGGTACAACGAATCGTCTGCTTTCTCTAATAATTTAATGAAACGTCAAAACTTCCGCGCTTTGCGCGGGAGGGGTAAACTGAATTCAGACAAAGATTAAGAGTCGAAAACGGTACAACGAATCGTCTGCTTTCTCTAATAATTTAATGAAACGCCAAAACTTCCGCGCGGGAGGTGGGGGCCGGGGGGGGGGGAACTGAATTCAGACAAGGATTTACAGTCGAGAACGGTACAGCAAATCGTCTTCTTTTTATAATAATTTAATGAAACGCCAAAGCTTTCGCGCTTTGCGCGGGAGGGGGGGGGATTCATTCAGACAAGGGTTAACAGTAGAGAACGGTACAATAAATCGTCTTCTTTTACTAATAATTTAAGGAAACGTCTAAGCTTCCGCGCTTCGCGCGGTAGGCCTATCACCCACACACCCCTAATGAGCGAGCGAGCGTGTGTGTGTGTGTGTGTGTTTTGTGATTGTGCGTGCGCGATCGCGCGCGCTTGCGTAAATTAGTGTGGGCGTGTGCTCCTGTTAGTATGTGATGGCTATCGCCGATCATCCCCCCACTCCTCGGTACGGATTTACGCCCCTTACTGTAATGATCAAATATATTCGTATTATAAAACGAAATACATTAAAATAAATGAGAGTTCTCACAAGTTTTCATTTCAAAGAAGATACACAGTAGTAATCTTTGTTTCAATGGGAAAATTGAAGCCCCAAATCATTGTGTTGTTGAGCTATTTTCATAAATTATCCTCATTGTTACAACAACAAAAACATGCTGGCAATAGCAAATTTATATGTGACAAACACATCATAAAATAATTGATCGTCTCAGAATTTAATTTTGGAAGAATCTAGCTTGAATCGTTGGTTGCTTACTTGAAATTAACTAGGCTCCCCCACCCCCTATCATTCACTCATATTCAGATCGGCTACATGGATTCTCGCTATGTGCCCGGTCGCCATTCTACCCGAACCTCGTCCAGTGTCTCAAGAAACCCACATGCAATAGCGCCAACTATCGACAGGAGTACAAAACCAAGACACCTTCAGGGATCTAGCGCCCAAGCAGCACCGCCACCACCACCACCACCACCACCCCAGCCTCAAGGCCCCGCGGCCACAGAAGTGGAGGCCCGATTGAGGAGACAGAAGAGAGAGGGCAAGAGTGTCAGCGTTAACCTCGTACCAATTATTGACCCCATGGAATCTCCCTAAAATGATCGAAAAAAATTATGAATAGAAAGGATTGTCTAGAATTAATCGTTGTACGCTCTTGTTAATTTGTAACCACTTCTTAATTTGTTTACTGTAGACCTTATTTCAACTTATTTTAGACTTTTATTTATTGCAGGCTCTATTTCAATTTCATTTAAGACATTATTATATTGCAAATCAGGCCTGTTGTAGAAAATGCGATTGATTACGTCAAATCAATATGAAAGTACTACGATAGCCATCTTCAGTCTAATTTTATATCATTTCAATATCAACTTTGGTTTAATTAAAGTCATTTCAAGTCATGTACTTTGGCTTGATTATAATTTTATTGTCTCTGTCCTTAACATCAAAACCAAAGTTCTGGAAATGAATCTACCAGGTGAAGTTGTTAAATGAAAGAGATTACTAAATGTATATATTTCTTTCTTTAGAGAAAGTAACTAACTATATTTGGTTTATGAGTGAGGCAATGCTCAGTTAAGACTTTGCTTTTTGAAATTATAGTTATATATATATATTAGTATAGTGCCTTAATTTCAGACCAAATGGTCAGTATTAACAACTCCATAATTATATAAAAGAGTAGGAACAAGGAATGTAACTTATTACACAGCTCAAATATATCTATGTAGAAGCCTTTATGAATTTAAATATTTAGCATTTTCTATCTGTTTGAAAAATATGATGACAAGCGATAATGATATGTAATATCTACCATTCGTTTTTCTATGAAGTTATTGACAGTAAGATTCACAAAAAGTAAATAATTAGACTTATATATATATATATATATATATATATACTATTTGTTATGAATGGGTGTGTGCCAAATTTAGGTTGTAATTTATTTTATTGTGAGCAAGGTAATGTAAATTGACTGGTAGAATATGTAAATTAATTTACTGAATTTTGTGATTTTGTTAAAGTTTAAAAAATATATGCATATATAAATAGGCTAGTCTCTAATGATATTATTAATATGCAACAGTTTCTCTGTGATTAAAACATGTCCTTCAAATATTTTTCCACTGATCATGTTATGTAAGATGTTTATCATATATAGTCTGATGATGATACATGTTAATGTTAATTTTACTGACATTTTAATTACAATATAATAAATTCAACAGGAAGAAATAATTTCATACTTGTTATTGGTTTACATATTTATATATTGAGTAAGTACCATATGAATCTAGATAGCACAAGTACGTTTCTCCTGTAATTTTTCCACAAGCTTTGTCCCCCTTCCCCATTTGTCTCTTTTAATATCTTTTTTCATTCATCTTCTGTACTTTATCAACAGTTCTCTTTTGGTACCTGCCTTCATTGTTCATTAATTACTTTGTTCTACTTTTTGTATATTTTTTAATTCTCATTTTCCCTTTTCATATATTTTCTATCAATTCAAATTGCAAGGACATTTTTTTAACGCTCAGGTCCTTTTTCTTCTTTCTTCCCTGTGTGCCTTTGCTCCTGCCTGCCAATCTCATTATCCACACCACTCATTTTTTTCCCTCCATTTTCTCTATGTCTCCTTTCCTCTCTTGCCAACAAAAAGTTGGTATGTACCCTATCATTATTCATCTCTTTCTCTTCTCTTCTCTTCTCTCTCTCTCTCTCTCTCTCTTTCTCTCTCACTCTCTCTCTCTCATTCTCTCAGACTATCACCTCTATTATATATTCCCTCTCCCTTCTTTCTTTTTCTCTCTCACTCTCTCACAACCCCCCCCCCCCCTCTCTCTCTCTCTCTCTCTCCTTTATTACATTTCCTCTCTATCTCCATCTCTTACCTCTATTATATATCCTCTCTCTTCCTTCTTTTTCTTTTTCTTTCTCTCACTCTGTCACTCACACAAAGCTAATATTTGGCATATGATTTACAAAAGTATGAAGCCACTCAAACATGTACAAATGAATCTTTTTGACAAAATTTAATGAAATTCCAATGGAAAATTCCATTTAGGACACGGTATAAACCAACCATAAATACTTAGGAAAAACAATAGAACATATTGTCCAATCTCAAGCCAAAATGCCTAGTACCTCCATAGTAGTTCACTGAAACTATATGAAGGTGGTACTGCTCTGCATTGAAGTCACTAAAATATTTCAAGGCTTGAAGAAAATCATAAGTCTTAAATTTCTCATTCTAAGGGTAAAAAGACACTTGATGCCATATTTCCTGAAGGCCAGGTTGCCCAATACAGGAACTCGTCACTTCTCATCCCTTGAAATACCTCTCCACTCCATTATAATGTCTTTATCCATTCACATAATGTAAAAATGCAGTTTCCCATAGAAAATACAAGTAGAAAGTTTAGCATAGATTGAGATTGAGATACAAAAGTGGAGGACCATCAGTCCGATGGACACTCAGATTTTTCAATCGTAATTTCATCTTTCATTTGAGTATTCCTGACTACCTTATCTCATCCATTGGTATCACACTGATTCAATTAAACAAGAAACTCTGCAAATAGAGAAGCCTGTAAGAATGGCAGGACCTTCTGTATTTCTATGTGAAGATGGATAATCATTAAAATGACAAATTCTAGAAATGAATAGATCAAACTAGCCGATACTTATGCAGCACTAGTTTGTGACTTCCCACCTTCTACTCGTAATCATAAAATTTCTCAATCAGAATGCACTTATAAAAAAATATCTCAAGAATTATTCACATCCACCTGATTGTTTTGTAAGTCTTTCAAAATGGGGGGAAATCGGGACAAAGAGAAGGGATACTAAAAATTCATACCAAAATGATAAAGAATTGAAAAGCATTTCCACACATTGAACACTTTAAGGTTATCACTAAAATGTATAAATTATGACCAAGTTACGATACATACTAAACACTTACGATTATCATGATAATTATATATACCATATGTACAGACAATAGTCATCATGTCTTTTTTTATCCAAAACAGGCACTTCTTAAACCAAACAAAGCGAGTTTGGCTTGATACTCAAGGTAAATGTGTTAAACTTGTTTGTCTACTGAACGAAAAGAAAATAATTTATTCAAGAAGCTTTGCAACCTTCAGCAGCATTTGAACTGATACATATCTATGTGTTGGAAAGATATTACCATAATTCTATCACCTTTCAGATAAAAAGAGTCCATTTCTTTCGAATCTTTTTCGAACTGGACTTAGACACTTTACAATTGATAAATCATGGGTAACTTATGCCCATATCTGCACCGAGAGTGAGGAAAATCTACCAATAAAACCCATTTCCCCCTTCTAAAAGCATAGTTATCCTTGGGGGTCTTTTCTTTTTTTAATTTCGCTATTTCATAATGATAAAATTAAAATGCATAATTGCATTACAGACGATATCATGCGCATCATAGATATTTCATCCAATGTGATGAGTAAGGAATGATCTTGAGATACTGGGTTACATGGACTTTAAAATAGTACAAAACAGAGAAAATAACATATCATCTTCATCATCATTCTTCACCTAGTCCAACAAATTCATTTAAATATGGTGTACCTCGGGTGGTAAATCTGTACCCAAGGTTTAAAATCTACAGAAAGGAATTATCATTCAATTCACCTATCTGGTCTAGTTTAGAATGAAACCTAGAAATGAACACAGAATTTTCTTTCATGATTCAAAATAACTCTAAAGGTATACTATAATGTAAGAATCTTAATTGACAAGGCTTTATAAAAACACCCATGGCAGCCTCTAACAATCTTAAACAAAAAACTATCTTTGGTTGGTTTGTTGTGAAAGGAAACTAAGCTATTTTTAGCAAAGGAAAAAGACATTAATGGATTCACCAGAAATAATACTATAATCCTAATAAAAAGACCTCTGTCTCAGTTAACTTACCCTGCTGTTTCAGATATCAACACAAGATTCATAGTTCAATATGTACAGAACAAGACCAGTTATATCGTAACAAAAACATTATTACATCAGCTCATGTCATCTGAAAAACAAAAAACCTTTACAATCTAGCACTTTCTGGTTTACAAGTATGGATGGTAGAACATTTTTATCTCTTTCAAATAAAAAGTATATAGGTCACTTGACTTTCTCTGCTCACATCAAAAATTAAAGTTTCTTTACAATTCGTAGCAAAAAACTTGCACCATGGTTTATAATGATAAAGTATCTCTACATAAAATAACTTAAGCCAGATTGTTTTCTCTCTAGGCAAGTCTGTTGGCTGCTACACTAATCTGGCTGCGGTGAATAAGGACAGTTGGTGCATTAACATCTGCATGGACATTTGTATGTCCACTCTAGGTGCCCAAGTGATTTGGTGTTAATAATCATATAGATGGTGTGAACATTAATGTGTAGCTCTCATAAAGATAAGACCTGTGCATTAATTGACTAGAGGCATGTGAAATATGTGCAGATTTGGTAAAATGTACTTTGAAATAGATGTTCACATTTTTATTGAGAAAATAACCGAAGACACATTTTTCTTTGCATATAGAAATAATGCTAAATATAATTAAACTGAATAATTCAGTCAACATATTTAACTATTCATTGCCATTCTCCATGAAAATTGTCTTTTGTCATGGTGGACTTTTTTTCTGAATATATGAAGCTGCTTTCTCATGAAAATGTGTAAAACCCATTTCAAAAGTATAAAATATTGAAGTGATAAAACGTGTATAAGACCTTGATTTTACAGCAAAAAAACAATGCAGAAATTCAATTTCAATGTTGCTATAGCAGCTTCACACTTTGAAACAATCATCACTTCCATTTCTTAGGGTATTCAAGCATTGCCAACTTAGTGCCAAAGATCTTGTGCAAAGAAATGACCAAAATACTAAACTTGTGCTCTCAGTGATTGTAGTACATATTTGAGAAGTGCACAAAAAACATTGGAAATTTTCAGGTACTGGAATGGGAAATTTTGTTAGTGCAGGTACAGTTTTTAATAATTTGAAGGTGATTAACAAAGAAGTGATTAGTGAGCAACTTAGACTAAAGTGGTGTAATTTTGTGCCTTAAAAGATTCTTTCTAAAATATCACACCCAAGCACACACTGAGGTTTTCAAAAATGTATCTGCAATTTGCAAGTACTGGTCGATATATGAAAATAAACAACATATCCAGGAGATTTTTAAAAAATCTAATATTACACCAAAAAGGATAAATAAAGATACAATCAATAAATATGAAAGTAATTTTTCATCTAGATTTCAAAATTTCATTCTCTTTTAGATTTCATAATTTTGTGTTTGATTAATGAAATAAAAAAAAATCACTACAAGTTTATGACACAATTCAAACAACTTATTTCATTGAAACATAATTTGACTACTCAATATATATATACTACAAAGAAAGTAAATAACTGCACTCAATAGAATTTCTAGAATTCTCTAATAATTATCCAAAATCTACAATCACATAACAGTACAATATACACAAACACTGGGAATTTGATTTTTCACCAATTATATACTCATGATTACAATCCATTTTTTCTTCAAAATATAAAGATCTGAAGGAAACAAGATATCTTATAAACAATAATTAAATTGGTCTTCTCTCTTTTCCTTAAATAAACATAATATACACATAATATAGAATTGCTAGGCTAGAATGATTATCTCTCTCTCGCTCTCACTCTCTCTTACATGCACCGTATGATTTAGAGGGTTTTTTATGGTTACCATGGCAACTGCATCACTGGAATACCAACTGGGGTTGCATTGATGGATAGAGCTGATGGGTAGTCATTTCTATTCTCTTGGGCTGTGTGGAAGAACAAATTTAGTGAAAGCATGTTTATTAGATTATTCCATGTAACTGAGTGGGGAAGAGTGGAGGATAAGGTAATTCAAAACGTACTATTTATCTAAAGCCTTAAATGTTTTAACCATGAATGTAATGAAATTTGATGGGATAGCACATGAAAGATATTAAAGCTTCTATTTTCATGTTGTCTCTCTAACAGAAGTTTCAATCTAATGGCCTTTTGGGAAATATTGAGAAGAATTAAAAGACCCCACTGTTGGGAGACAGAAGGTCCACAAAAGGGCCTTACGGAATTAAACTCAACAATTACAAAACAACTTTTTTTAATGATATTTTTTGTTGCAGTAACCTTTCATGGTACACTGGACTATAGCTATTTGACATAAGAAATAGCTTCAGTATTACCACTACTTTTGATAAAGCTGGAAAAGCTGTCAAAATAATTATGTATAAATCAAATGATCTGTTTAGATTCATAAGTGCATAACATAATGGCTCCAAACAGACATTCACATTCAGAAATGATTAGGTTAATAGAAATTAGGTGTGAAAATGCGCGGAAGTATTGAACCTGAATCGCGGCTTCCTCTATTCAACATCTTACTCTCATTAACTGCTGACTAATTAGCAAGCTAGAGTCCTAGCTACAAGGTCATTCTGGCAGGCTTCTGATGTGTCCTGGTATGTTCATCTCAGTGGAGTTTAATTTAAGGGGGAATTCTATTTTAGACCTCACCTCACCCATATTGGCCTTGGCAAACTCTACACGAAGGCCACCACGGTCACTTGACTTCAGCATCAGCCCCTGAAGGTGGGCCAGGGCTTGCATAGCAAACCCTACGTTCTATTAAGAGTCAAGAAATCATATAAAGAGAGAATTGGGAGAGGGAGAGAGAGAGAGAGAGAGAGAGAGAGAGAGAGAGGGAGAGAGAGAGAGGGATAGGGAGAGAGAGAGATAGAGATATAGAAAGAGAGATAGAGAGCAAGAGATAGAGAGAGAGAGAGATAGAGAGGGGGAGGGAGAGAGAGAGATAGAGAGAGAGAGAGATAGAGAGATAGAGAGAGAGAGAGAGATAGAGAGAGAGAGAGGGAGATAGAGAGAGAGAAAGAGATAGAGAGAGAGAGAGAGAGAGAGAGAGAAAGAAAAACAAGTGTTAGATTGATATTGGGGTCTGTGTTAGATAAACTCGACCCTTCTTGTGAAATCTTATATTACCAAAAGGAAAACTTCTACCTCAATCTAACTTCCTGTCTTACTTTAGACTGTACATAAACCCAGCGTCAGGATGAAATGTGGGTAGGATACAGTGTCTATAATATGGACATTTGTTTGCTGGGAGCCAGCAAAACATTAAAATACTTGTAAAATGACTGCAGTTCAATGCACTTTTTAGCTCTAAGCAGATAGACGATTGCTGTACTATCTTCATTCTGCTCTATGTAGTAAAGAAATTTCAAGGAAATATTTACTTTGGGAAAATTAAAATGTAAAATAATGTTGAATCTTTGAAATAAAAGATAGATTTAAGTATAAAAACATTCCCATTTTCTGTTTTGAAGATATCTTTTGCATATGTACTGTAATTCTTCTGATTTAATGTCTAATATCTTCATCTTTATTACATGAACAGATGTACAGGAACTGCTCTGAAATATGTATTTAGTAGATATTTCAAACATAATTATCATTAAATAATTGATACAAATGAGTCAGCCCAGTCTTTTCTTATCCCTTATCAATATCTGTCAAACCACAATGTAGGACAGAAAATGGACAAATCTAGAGTCAAGAATTAGGGTAATTGTAATGATAAGACTGTATGCTTATGGTTTGCAGCATGATATGCAAAAGTTCTGCACTCTACAAATTCCCCAACATTTCCTCCATCTATTAACACTCTCCTTTGTTTAAAGTCACTAACACTTCTTAAATCTACTCCCTAACAGAGCACTTCAAAAGTGCTTTAGAATCAAATCCCTTATACAACTCCTATAAATGCCATAACAAAACTTGATTTCAAGAGGCCATATTTATTTTGATTGCCCTTGTTAGTGTGTAGCAATTAGTTGGCTAATGACAATTTACCTGGAATTCCACAAAACAGCATGGCGCACCTCCTTTGTTGTGCATGCGTAGTCGGTTAAAACCTGGGAGGCTGGGGGAGAAAACAAAACATTTTAAACAGTTTGAAACAATCTGATCGTTTCTACGCAGTGGGAGCTACTTAAGATCTACATTCCAATAGATTTGAGAGTACGCATTAGGGTAATGGACTTGATTATTCTCTTAGGGGACTAAACTAAATACAGAATAAAAAAATACCGGTATGAATGTAATAGATATTGAATAACTTTTTTTATAGAACAAAATATCCAAGATCAACGCTGTTAGCTTGCAACGTAGAAAAACTGAATGAGTATGGCTTTTGTTCCTTATTCTCTTTGTGGTTTGGTAGAGTAGGAAGAAAACATTTTAGGTAAAATTTAAAAATAAAAAAAGTAGACAAATATTGTATGTAGCCATCCTGTGTAAAGTGAGGAAAAATGGGAATGCTTCTATTAGCAGTCATGTGTTAAGTCTTCACAGATTCATTTCAATTTTTCTGATGGTTAAGATCCTTGCATAAAAATGAATGTGATTCTATGGTGTGAAAATACAAGTGAACTGTGTGCTTTGTGGATCAAAGTTTTAAAAAAGAAAAAAATTCACAACTTGTCAAACTTACCAAGCACTCAATAAACTCATTCCTTGATTAGGAAACTGCTAAAATGGTTGGGTGCTCATGATTCTAATGATTGTGAAAGATACCTACGCGAATCTTTGATTGAATCCAAGGTTTGTGAGGTGATTTGTAAATGACAGAAAAGCAGTAACATCAGATTCTAACAAAAGTTGCTAATGAAGGATGAAGTAGGGGATAAAATTCAGATGCAATCTGGTATGATGTAGGTGTGTAGTCTCAAACACTGATTCATTAGTGTATCTTCCAAGGTTAAAATGAGGATTTGATTGTGTTAAAATTCAATTGTTAAACTGGTTTCAACTTTTGGCTCCTTTTGGGAAGGGACTCCAACAATTTGTTTCATCTTATTCAAATTCAGGCAATTCCATGCAATGCCTCATGTATGACATAAGTCTTTCATCCAAAATGAAAAATATCTGTATATGACCCATGCCTAGTTTTTCTTACTTGACCATCCCTCACTTGTCATATCAACTGATTCAGCACTTTTGTTGGAAATAGATAAACTCATGTCACACAGGACACAGTACATGGAGTCCATCATCAAATCCTTCCTTTGATCTAAAAATTGTTGAATCATGGCCCCAATCTCCAATATCAAGGGGTTTGCATGTATGTATCAAGAATGATCAAAAACAAATCGGAAGGAAAGTGTGACTTGTTTGTAGAGAGAACTCACCACCTGAGTGTGTCGCGTAATTCCTGCTCGGATGTGTTAGTCCCAAGGTTGGCCAAAAATAGCGTTGAGCAGGCGGCCCCTGAGTTAGCCATGGCTACCATAGTGGCTGCATTGGCCATACTGATAGGGATGGTTTGTTGGTGGGGGAGGGGTGTGTGTTGCGTGGGGGTATGTGCGACGGCCTGGGGGGTGTGGTGAGGCTGCATGGTGGATACAATCAACAAGACAAGGATAAGAGGTATGGAGGGGAGGAAACAAAAATATAAGAAAGTCAATCAGTTTCCCCGGTTGCAAGTGTGATTTATTTTAAAAGACAGCCGAGAAAAGGTGAACAAAATTAATAGCAGGTCTCTGTTGTTGGACGGTTGTTTTTTGAGAGTGGTAAATCCGCCTCTTTAACTCAGGTATCACCTTTTCTTGTTGCTTAACATGTTTCATAGGAATTTCCAATACTGTTAGAAAGAATGAAGAAATTCTGAACAAGTCCATTTCTTTGACAGCATACTCTCGATGAATGAACTGACATAATAGACACTTCTCTCCTTTTTAATGGATTATGTATCATTTGGGAATTTAACAGTACAAGAACAATGTTCCTGCTTAATATGTTTGAAGAAAATATGGGACATTACACTTGATATGACTCCCAATGAACCGCAAGTTTGAAAAGCAAGGGGAAAAAAGGAAGATGTGAGCTCAAAACATTGTGGAAACAATCAGCACTTATCAGAGGAATTGTATAAAGCATCCATTAAAAAAGGAGACAATCCATTATCTGACATCATTAGTTCATTGATTATCATACAATTATGCATTTTAGGGAAATTGTTTTGGTGTAAGATGTTACATAATTCTTGTTGCACTTAACTTGTTACCATCACTGTAAGATTATTATATCTTTATATAGAAAAACAAAAAATCTAAAGCTCAATATATGCCTAAATCTCCTCTTCCCCTATTCTTTATTTTTAATTTTTACCCCCCCCCCCCCCCCACTAAAGTCCCAGTACCTTTAACATTGAGTGGCTCTTCCTTTAAGTTGGGTTATTTTTATAACTTTCTACCAAAATAATAATTGTGACACAAATCTTGATGAGTATGGATTTGTATAAGTTCATCTTGTAAGTTTAGATGATGAAATGTGTCACTTTTAATTTGAATTATCTAATGTTAGGAAAAGAAGTCGATACGACCAACTTTAACCCAATGACATTAAATTCCTTAAAACCCTTCTTACCTAGAATGAGAACATCCTATCTTTAAATTTTGTAAATTTGGTTTCAAAGTATGTTCTCTGTTAAAACAATTTAATTTATTTTATATAATTATACACCTTCTTTACTACTTTAGTTCATACATAAAAGTTGTCCAAATCATATAAATACTTGTGTGAAACTAAAATAATGTTAACTGTTTCCTCTTAAATAACCCACTGCTTGTTATAGAATCATATCGTCGCTGTTTTCACGAAGTGACGGTAGTGAAAACTAGATGGAATTTTGACTGCGCGCAGTCGAAAATGATGCCTCCGCCATAGAGCAATTTAAACAAGTTTGGAGTTTAAATCTCCAGTGGTTCTTGAGATATCATGATAACAATCTCAATGTATGGAATTTCATAAGTTGACCTCTGTGACCCTTGACCTTTGACCTACGTGCTCCAAAATCTAATCAGATTGTCTTCCTATGGTGATACACACTATCATTAAGTTTGAAGTTTAAATCTCCAGTGGTTCTTGAAATATTATGATATGGTGATACATACTATCATTAAGTTTGAAGTGAAAATTCTCCAGTGGTTCTTGAGATATCGCGATAACGATCTCAATGTATGGAATTTCATAAGTTGACCTCTGTGACCCTTGACCTTTGACCTACGTGCTCCAAAATCTAATCAGATTGTCTTCCTATGGTGATACACACTATCATTAAGTTTGAAGTTTAAATCTCCAGTGGTTCTTGAGATATTATGATAACAATCTCAATGTATGGAATTTCATAAGTTGACCTCTGTGACCCTTGACCTTTGACCTACGTGCTCCAAAATCTAATCAGATCGTCTTCCTATGGTGATAAATACTATCCTTAAGTTTGAAGTTTTTACATCTCCAGTGGTTCTTGAGATATCACGATAACAATCTCAATGTATGGAATTTCATAAGTTGACCTCTATGACCCTTGACCTTTGACCTACATGCTCCAAAATGTAATCAGATTGTTTTCCTATAGTGATACACACTATCACTAAGTTTGAAGTTTAAATCTCCAGTGGTTCTTGAGATATCATGATAACAATCTCAATGTATGGAATTTCATAAGTTGACCTCTGTGACCCTTGACCTTTGACATACGTGCTCCAAAATCTAATCAGATTGTCTTCCTATGGTGATACACACTATCATTAAGTTTGAAGTTTAAATCTCCAGTGGTTCTTGAGATATTATGATAACAATCTCAATGTATGGAATTTCATAAGTTGACCTCTGTGACCCTTGACCTTTGACCTACGTGCTCCAAAATCTAATCAGATCGTCTTCCTATGGTGATAAATACTATCCTTAAGTTTGAAGTTTTTACATCTCCAGTGGTTCTTGAGATATCATGATAACAATCTCAATGTATGGAATTTCATAAGTTGACCTCTATGACCCTTGACCTTTGACCTACATGCTCCAAAATGTAATCAGATTGTTTTCCTATAGTGATACACACTATCACTAAGTTTGAAGTTTAAATCTCCAGTGGTTCTTGAGATATCATGATAACAATCTCAATGTATGGAATTTCATAAGTTGACCTCTGTGACCCTTGACCTTTGACATACGTGCTCCAAAAGCTAATCAGATCGTCTTCCTATGGTGTTACATACTATCCTTAAGTTTGAAGTTTAAATCTCAAATGGTTCTTGAGATATCGCGCTAACAAACTCAATACAAGGAATTTCATAAGTTGACCTCTGTGACCTGTGACCTTTGACCTACGTACTCCAAAATCTAATCAGATCGTCTTCCTATGGTGATAAATACTATTCCCGAGTCTTAAGTTTAAATCTTAAATGGTTCTTGAGATATTGTGATAACGGTCAAACGGGACGGACGTACGGACGTACGGACGGACAACCCGAAAACATGATGCCTCCGGCACCACCTTCGGTGGCGGAGGCATAAAAATTGCATTCACTTTGCGTTACGATTTTCCTCACTACCACCGTCACTTCGTGAAAACAAGGACGATATGTACCCTATTTTATGGATCCTATTCACTTTATGCTACAGGTGGTTTCGCTCCTGTGCAAGCAATTTGACTTGATATACACCCTTTTAAACAGAAATTGATGGTTGAGTAGAATAAAGAAAGCCTATATATATGAAGTGACGCCAGCCATAAAATCCTTCCTGTACATAATAATTAGTTATCATCATAAACTTGCCTAATCCTGTCTAAAGTTGCACCATCCCTCCATTCATTTTCACTACTATTGCTTGTATTATTTTACAGCCTGAACAGGATCGTAAATATAAACGGCCATCAAAAGATAATTTACGGTCTCAATTTCTCAAACTCGCCACCCTCTCAGATAAACAGGCTCTCAAACGAAATGCCAAGAGTGTTATGATATTGGTTTAATAAATAGTTACAAATATTGGGCTTGAGAGTCGGGGCACTGCCGGATATAATTAAATGGATTTTATGATCTTAAGTAGATGCTGAAGTACTGTGAATAGGCCAGGAAAATGAGAGAAAAAACTGCCAACATGTGAAATTTTCAACAATAAATCTTACCTCTAATCATTATATCAGCATTTTGTGCCAGAAATGTTGTTGGTTGCAAATAGTTGCATGTGCTCTTAATTTCATTGGATGCAAGAATTGAAAATTGAATCTTTTGAAAGTGCATAAAAAGGTCAGTGCCCTTGGTTTTTCGTGCACTTTGAGAATATCACATGCGCTGTTCACACAATCTAAAAAAACATCAAAATGACATGGTGTGCATGTTGAATGCTTCAAATCAACTGGTCTAAACACAGCAAATCAGTGAAACTAGCGTATAAAGGAAAACTCCTACTTATGCACTAAAGGAATGGATCTCAAACTTACACCTGACCTCATAAAAAATACAAAAAATACAAAATGACAGGAAACACTATTTTATGTAAATTAAGGAGTTATCTTGAAAAAAGGTGACATTTTTACATTTAAACACTTTATCAAATTATCACCTACATGTACATGTGCTCAGATATTTGTCTCATAATTAATTCTGTTGGAGTGGAGTGGTCATTGTAGAGCATTATTATCTTGATTATTGTAACAGTGTTATTTGTTGCAATGGCCTTACAACAAATAAGTGCAACGAGGACATAGTGTTTTGCAGTTTTGTAAAAAAAAATATGATAACAACACCTCAATTGAACAGAGTGATAATGAAATTTGTTAATCATTCAAAATTCTCTATTTTGTGCTATCTGCTGAGCTCCAGAAAGATATTAATTCATTTCCATGTACTATGAAATGGACTTAATGTATATGGCTCTCAGCAGATGGGATAACACCTAGGTATAATCATAAATTCACTTTTTACTAGGTTCTCTTGAATAATTGGTTAATTTGAGAGTTATTGTATGAACTGCTTCTCCACAAGTGATTTAACCTACATTACACTGCTGATTGTTATCAAAATAAAAATTGTGACCAACAGGTTGATATTCTACATAACATGAAATGTTACCACATACATGTGTGAGTGTGAGTTGAGATTGTGTTGACTGTGTGCATTGTTACCTGTGATGACTAACAAATACCTTTCTACCTTATTGTAAATGTTTCCACATTACAAGCACAATGATTGTGTCATAATTGAGGTACACATCTATAGAACTTGCTCAATGTATTATTGTTGTCTATGATTTCTACATGTTTTTACACCGATATCCCAAAAACGAATTTCACCAAGTGCTTTGTGTCAAAATGGAAGAAAAAAATCCAACACATCACAGTGACCTTTTTCCAATCCTTCATTACCAAATGACCAATAGCCCACAGAAGTCATTTGAACCCATGACAATTGTAACACACACAGTTTGTATTTGGCCAAGTCCAAGTTATTTTGTCCCGTATAAAAATACTCACTACATCAGATTTTAAAATACTGGATCATTGCATTAACTTAGCCCTTCTAAGGCTTGGATGAGACTAAATATCAAGGAAAAATTACTATATCAATGTTATTTGTGTTCCTTGCTCCTTGATACTTGGTAACACAAGGAACACAAATTGATCAAATAACTTGGACTTGCCCATTTCCTTATTTTACAAACTAATATGACATTCAAATTAAGAATGTTTATATCATTATATATATCATTTTAGTCTCGGCATTTAAAACAAGGATGTAGTTGGCTGAGAGGAAGACTTATTAGGGTCTTTGAAGTGGAAGCCTATTTTGATTTCTTACCAGGACATAAGCAAGTCTAGCCCCATCAGTAACGGGTAGCTGTGCATGGATGGCTGGTTGGCCCAACACAGGGTGATGCACCCCTCCAGTCGAAGCCGTTAAATCTGTGTACGATAATCTGGAAACACACAAGAAAAGGAAGCATGTAATTGGTACAAAAGTAATGCAACATATTCATTAGATGATATTGCAGCAGAGTGGAATAAAATAAGACTGCTCTTCATAACACTAACCCTATTCTGTGGTTACCCAATGCAGGGTGGTGTACCCCGCCATCTGTGTACAATGATCTGAAATGAAGGATAGAAAAAGTGGGAGTCAATAAATGAATTTGAAGTTTTCATGAGATGACAGCAGTCTGGAAACCTAAATATTACAGCAAAAATGGAAATTGACAAGAAAATTTGATTAATCAACTATCATCCGTTTAACCTTAACTAATCTTAAGTTATAAAGGCAACATTCAAAAGCATGAACAATCCAAAAGAAAAGCATATAAGTCATTGCAAATTGCCCTCTAGAATAAAATCTTTCTCTTTGTGTGTGTGTGTGTGCGTGTGTGTGTGAGTGTGTCCGTAAAAGGTCACTTTTAAATTGCATTTCAAAACATGGAGTCTATTTGATTATAATCCTCAGGGCTCTAACCTGTCCATTCTCATTAATTCATACAGCATGACTAATTGCTGCTAGAACCTCCCAAATCTCAATCATACTTCCAAATAACAGGAAAATGCAACTGCTTGTATATTGTAGGTTTGACATATTTGGAAGAGAGAGAGAGAAAAACAAATATAGTTTCAAACTGGGGATGTGCTAACAAGAATTGTCAATATTGCATTGTCTTTTGACATGTTGATTTGTCCTAAGCAGCATGCAAACAAATTTAACAAAATTTGCCCCTTGACAGTCATTTTGAACAAAACACTTTGCTTGAGTCAGTGCCTCTTGGTGTCTTTCTTATTATCTCTCTTCATCGTTAGGCATTGAATAACTTCACATCGACGCATCGCTCGGGCCAGCAAAGATTGCATTACGTGCTTCCATAAACAAGTTTGAATTTGTGGAGCTCAACTAATCGTCTGACAGCGATCAGGGCCAGAAAATCTGTTCACTTTGACACTAATGTGAGTGCTTGCTCTCACATTCAATTTGTATCAATGGGAGTCAAGTCAAATAGGTGTGAGGGAGGGAGGAAGGTGACCGGCAAATGAGAGTGATAGAGAGGGAAGAGAATGTGGGGAGAAAGAATGATATAGGGATGGATTGAAGAAAGAAAGGAAGTTTGATCAGGGGGATAATATAAGGTTTGAGCTTAGCGAACAAGCACGAGGCATGAAGGGATATATAGCAAATGATATACAAAGTCAGAAACAGAGAGAGAGCGAGGAATAAATAGAAATAGGATATTTAAACGGAGTGAAAGATAAATTGAAATATAGAAACAAGTGAGGGAAGGAGAGAGAGAGAGAGAGAGAGAGAGAGATAGAATGACACATCTTTTCTTTCATTATACGATATAGAGTATATCTTGGCTAGTTTGTCATTGTGAACCATGAGTATGATTCATGTAAACTGCTTTATTTATTTTTTAATTAAAGCTGTGATATCTCTTGGAATTAAACAATATTCAGAAAATTTTGAAACCTGAATTTAAATCCCTGTATGTCCAAAGTTCCCTATTTTTTCTATATGATCCTCTATGATCCTCTATGTTTGGATTCCCCTGGATAACAGTGCATCTGAATGCGAAATCAGAGGATAACTATTCCTGATTACTGACCAAACTGATTTTAATAGCAGATATCGGTGCCGGGTCAGTTTTTGCAGAGGTCCAGGTGGCACAATTTGTTCTCCCAAATTGAAATAAACCAAGGGTTAAGAAAAAGTGCTTTTTAAGGTTTACTAAAAACAGAACACTTTTTCATCACATATAACTATCATAAGGTATCTGGAGTTTGCACAGAGGCATTCAAGTCAGGCTCCCAAAGAGTTAATAGAAAATGCTTATCAAAATGTCCACTTTGTCTTGAGAGACTATGAAATTTGAACGGGTATACTTAATTTGATAATCAAATGTTGAATGCATTTTAGGCACTTATGTACAAGAGAGGATTATGACCATTTCATAGTCCATCACTTGGCAAATAGCACTTATCAATGTGTGATTCCCAATGCTCTGCTAAAACATGCTCGTACATTGCTGATTTATGTGACTGTTTAATTGCCCGATGTACCGTGACACAAGGCGTTCACTTTCATTTCAAATTCAAGAAACAACTGCAGCGGGGGGACACTACCCTGGCTGACATTTCAATTCTGATCAGAAGAAGAAGAAGAGTACGCTTGAGTGAACAAACACACAAATGAAAGACGCTACAAAGTGAGTGTAATGGTTTCCGTTCAGCAGTCAGCTTCATTGCACTTGATGCATGCGAGAAGACGAGACAGAGGAGAGAAATTCTTCATAATTTAGGGCTTTCTTGGCAGGCAGTCAAAACCACTGTCTCATTTAGAATTGAGATGTACATGAAGCAGTAGAAGTACAAAGCAGTTTACACTTCAAGTTCAGATACTGCATGCATTAAGTGTTGATCAAACTTTAGACAGGGAGGGCATTAACATTTTAATGGTAATCTTCAGTTCTAGTGAGAAAAAAGAAAGGTCTTCTTTAATCATTTGAATAAGATCTGAACAAAAAATTGCCAAAATGCTAAGCATGAAAAGCTGATGAATCATATTCAAGACCTTTCTAATGATGAGTAAAATAGCCAACACAGACACTTAATTCTGAGAGTGGGAAGAACACATGAACCTTGCCGAAGCTATCTCAAATTTATTGTGTTTCACAGTTTCCAGCATGTTGTTATTTCATGATTCTACGTAAATATTGGTCCATACAAAGCAAATACAAAGTGCCTTTCCATCACAATCAACAATTCATAATGAAGTAAGAATATTTTTCAGACAGTTTCTCTTGACATAGCCTACAACTTTCTTATCAAAACTCGCGATTGCCTGTATCTTTAATCAGAGGTATGTGTTGCATGTTGTAATTGATAACAGCTTAGGTGAACCATGTGATGACAGCTTTATTCAAAACATCAATGTCCTCTGTTGAGTGCTAGGAGAGTGTTAACTCACTTGCTTTTAAACAGAGTTAACGCCCTTTTGGGTCTAACGGGACGACATACACATCACATTTCATGAGCATTCATGTGCTAGGGCATTCTTGTGATTTCATTTACCTGGGAATCAATGCATGACCTACAGTCTATGGAATCCTATGATAAACATGGATGCATCTGTCAAAGTCAGAAGGGTGATACCCCATTCATAGTTATTGCTCCTTCTGGTTCTATGCAGACAGCATAGCTATGTACATATCACAAATCATGAGGATTCATGTGCTGGAGGAGTTCCTATGATATCATTAACTTTAGAATCATTGTATGACCTACAGTCTTTGGAATCCTATGATAAACATGGATGCATGAGTTGAGAGTCAGAAGGGCGATACCCCATTCACTGTCGCACAGAAATAATGTCCTTCTAGCTCTAAGCAGGAGACATATGTACACATCAGGATTCATGTGCTGGGGGAATTCTTGTGGTGATATTTATTTCGGAATCATTGTATGATCTATAGTCTTTGGAATTCTATAATAAACATGGATGCATGAGTTGAGAATCAGAAGGGTGATACCCCATTCACCTTTACACAGAGTTAATGCTCCTTCTGGTTCCATGCAGACAGCATAGCTATGTACACATCACAAATCATGAGGATTCATGTGCTAGGGAATTCTTGTGATATCATTAACTTCAGAATCATTGTATGATCTATAGTCTTTGGAATTGTATAATAAACATGAATGTATCCGTTGAGAGTCAGAAGGGTGCGATCCCATTCACTTTTACACAGTGTTAATGCCCTTCTGGCTCTAAGCTGGAGACATATGTACATATCACAAATCATGAGGATTCATGTGCTGGGGGAATTCTTGTGGTATCATTAACTTCAGAAACATTGCATGACCTACAGTTTCTGCATATCTATAATAAACCCCAATGTGTCTACTGAAAGCAAGAAGGGCATTAGCTCTGTTTAGGAGCTAAGATCCTTCTGGCTCTTAGCAGATGAATGATGAAATGTGACTTACGGGTGATGTGCCCACTGCTCAGGTGCACCAGGTAGAAAAACTGTTCCCAGATCATCTGAGGAAAGGCAAATAGAACCACACATTGATATAATTCATACACAGCAAAATTAGTTTGAATCAACATTTATTGTTCCCTTTTTAGTGCTAAATGTGAGTTTTTAAATAATTTATCAACAAAGCAATTGATCATTTAATTCTCTAAGTCTCATTATCTAGACAAACATGTCACTTATTTCTATCATCATTAACACCACCGTCATAATCATCATATTCATGATCATTATTATCATTATTATCATTATTAGTGGTAGTGGTAGTGGTAGTGGTAGTGGTAGTGGTAGTGGTAGTGGTAGTGGTAGTGGTAGTGGTAGTGGTAGTGGTAGTAGTAGTAGTAGTAGTAATAGTAGTAGTAGTAGTAGTAGTATTAGTAGTAGTAGTAGTAGTAGTAGTAGTAGTAGTATTTTATTATTACTTATATTCAACATAAATGAGTAAACTTACAAGGATCTCTGGGTGTTAGAGGTGGTCCCACCACTGGGTTAATGGCAGGTAAAGGCGATGTCTGTTTAGGTTTGGTCACTTTGGTGTTGGATTTGGCAAACTCCAGCCGTATCGTCTGCGGCAGCTCTGGATCAAAACGCACTCCCTGGTATTCAAGGAAGAAAGTAAAGATTTTATATAATTAAAAAACAACATTGTCACAATATATAAGAGTAAGATATTTTGTGTAATTCATGATACAGCTATTTAGATTTCTATTTCTTCACTTTGGTGTTGAATCTGGCAAACTCAATCCACTCAGTCCATGACTGCCTCATAAAAATGCACATCAGGTATTTTTTAATTCGCTGGATACGATTTGATTTCAATTAAACAGGAATTTTTCATTATCAAACTTAGTATTCAATGAAGAATTCTTCCTTTCCCTATCCTTAATACCGGAACCATTCATCCTTGTTAGTATTTGGTAACTTACATATAACTACTTATTTAATTAAAAATACTTGCATCTGTTTTCCCACGTGAGAGTGAAACAGATAAAAACATACAGTAGGGGAATACAGTCATGACATCCTGGTTGTATCCTGGTTCTAACCAGTTCATAGTCCATGTATGAATTACTTTCAGTTAGGAATGGCAAAGAAGGACAGAAACTTTTTACTTTGTCTAAGAACAGGCAGTAGTTCACACTGATATATTTAATACACTATAGCACAGAATAGCTAATTTGGTGAAAACATCAAAATCTGTACACACACAAGAATAGAATCAGTGGACAAAAAAATACAAAGAACATATCTGAGTCAAGAACACTGAACAAACAAAACAATAAAATAAAAAAACAAGACAGATTTTTAATAATATGTTCTCATTGAACATCTAAAAGGTTTTATGTCTCGAGATCTTTCCTTGATAGCAGGATGTCTTTATAGAACATCAGGCAGCGAAACCTCTCAAGAGCTGAGATTTTAGAAATATCTCCATTACCCAACCTCCTCCTGTATCCAATTTCAAATAGGAGGCTACAAAGCCATTCTGCAAACAAATATGAAACGTCCTCAGGCATGGTAGGTAATATCAACCTAACCTAGCAGAATGGAGCTATAGAAATTATGAAGGCTATCACATCGGGTCTCCCTTTTTTTTAAAGACACTGAGCGGGGAAATTTGCCTGTATGAGGTCTCCACTTTCAGATTAATATGTGGGGACGTCGAGCAACAGCCTCTTATTAAAAATGGTTGCCTATAGGGGGCGACAATTACTCACCTGGAGTGCCTGTTTTGCCGCTTCTGCACCTGCACGCGATTCAAATGTGACGAAGCCCACAGGCTGGTGGAAGAAATCATGGGGGAGAAAGGGAGAATCATAAATAAAAATGGGTAAAAAATATAAATGAGGGAAAGAGAAAGTGAAGATTGATTATATTGGAATTATGGAGAAATGCATTATGGATGAGAGAGGGACAAAGAGGTAGATAAAAATGAATAAATGCATGTAGGTTAGAAGTCACAGGAAATTACAATTTAAACCCAATAAAGAAGAAAAATGCATGAGATGAAGAAAAAAATATCTATGGAGATAAAAATGAATAAGAATTAATAGACAAGCATATAATGGGATGGCAAGCATGAACAAAGAAACAATATTTAAAGAATAAATAAAAACCAAGAGATAAAAAATAGGATGAAACGGGCAGACAACCTGAGAAGGACAACATTTGTGAGGAGAGATAGAGCAAGCTAGCCAGAATGAGAGAGAGAGAGGGAGAGAGAGAGAGAGAGAGAGAGAGAGGGAGAGACAGGGGAGAGGGAGAGAGAGAGAGAGAGACAGGGGGAGAGGGAGGGAGAGAGAGAGAGAGAGAGAGAGAGAAGTATGGACGGATGAAGAAAGACAAAGAAAAATACAACAGAGAGAGGAGAAGCAGCAGTTTAATACCTCACAAAAATGCTATCTTAGTGAGATGTTGAAACACTGATAATCAGTGATTTTGAACAAAATACAGATAGAATATGTTCATTAACCAAGCTCTATCATTTGCAATCTTTAGATACCCATCATTAAAACTCAGAAATGTGAATTTGGTGTTTTGGGTAAAAAGAGAGAAAGAGCCACTGTACAAATACGAAATCCTCTCCTCCTGTATGTGTTACATTGCAAAACTATGGAACGCATGCTTACTGCTTACTGCTTAATTTCCTAGTGGAAATGTCGTCTGTCATGATATCAAAATGTTAATAGGTATATGACAAGTGCTAACGGCAAACACATTACTGAAATAGAAAGTATGTCAATTAACAATATGCCCTTGGGGATATTAGGGGGAAATATTAAAGAGAAATGCGCCATCACCCTCAATAAACAAGCGCCAGTAGAGTCCATTTTTATGAGATATTTCTGATATGAGTCAGCCTTCAAGATCTTAAATTTGTACTTTCTCTCTGTGGCAATATGTCACACAAATTTATCTTTTATCATTACATAATTTTGTTTATTGCATTCATTTAATATTGCACTATACTTCTGAATGAACAACTACCAGTGGATGTAAATAGATGCTTATCTTAATGTAAATCTGTGCTTTTATTCTAAAGCAGATATGTATATATTGTATAATTGAGAAAAGCATTATATCCTAGGAGTAATATTTCATCACAATGATGGAGTTTTCTCTGTTTCATCTCAAATATCTCTGCATTGATGGGTTAAAATAACATTGGACCTCTTTACTGAAGATTAACAAGGCACTGTTTTATTCTATGTGAGATGCAGACATCATGCTGACCACTGTATATTATTATTTTAATTTTAACTAACTCTTTTTAACCTTATTATAGTGTGCTACATACTCATTTAATATTTGAATGTTGGGAAAAAATTAAGTAAATTGGTAATAATCCAATACCATAGACCAATGATGACTTTTAAAAGGTCACTGACCATACCACATATCTAGAAGTCGACCCCTTCTCAGTGTCTAGATGAGTGATGTAGGATAGTAGTCAAGGGAATGAGACTTGATCACCAGTCTCATCACTCACTAACCCTATGCTCCAAGCACACACACACACACACACACACACACACACACAGACACTCTTCACTTTGTACTTTCCCTTCATGTTTGGTCTACTCACATTTCAATTTCTCATTAGTCTGAGAGCAAAACATTTCTACTGAAATGACCTTCACTTGACCTTAATAATGCTAAAAATCCTGATCATATTCACAAGGACAAATGGAACTACGTAGATATTGTATTTTTGAGTGAATAATATAGTTTATCTTGAATGTCATCCAGTGGAGCAAACTTGGTGTGCCTGCAGCAAACAAGCTTGTAATTTTCATATTTAATAACTGCACAAAATTTCTGTCATTCCTTTTTTTTCTTCTTTGCATGGTTAAGGTGAATAATAAAGTGGGAGCTTTCTCATTCTATCATATTCCAGGGTGAAGAATACCATAGTAGTAATGTGATCTGAAATGAATTGCTCTAGAAGTGCTCTCATATTTCAAATTTGGCAATATTTTATTAAAAAACTTTGGACCAAATTTTGATGCCATATACATGTATAGTGTAGTATCACACACTCATATCTATGTTTTCAGCAATATTTAGTAAATTTGAACATTTGCTATAATTCTGCACAATTCTGAATTCTCATAAAGCACATAGGTCCCTATTTACTATCTAATCAACCTTTTCCAACCATTCTGAAATGTTTCTTTTCAATATCAAGTCCATATCCACTACTCAACATCTTCTTCAACTTGGCAACACATTTTACATTACAATTTTGAATAAGTGAGATAATCAAACATCTATTCCCTCTGAACCTGATACAGAGAACACACTCTGACTAGCAAGCTCTCGAGACAAGAAGAGCTTTGATAAACACACTGGTCCAGTCTGGCAAGAATCCGAGGCACGTCGGCTAATAATTGTGTCACTCACATTACGGCTACTTACTACCCCCTGTTGGTATGCTTGGTATCCCTGCAGTCCGAGTGAAGGGGCTAAAGTACAGATGCACCTTATTCACGGCAACATGTTTTCCTAGAGGTCTTTATTAGAGTTCATTTTGGATTTTATGGATGGCTGGGATGATCTGTTCTAAAATAAGTTGCATGTGTTTTGTGAAGAAAAGAATTCATGCCCTCAAAGTATATGCATGAACAAAGAGTGATGTCATCTGGTTAAAGCGTGGTCGGTGCTCTAACGATGTGCAAATATGATGTGCCAGCATGGAATACAATTTTGCCATCGTCACTTATTAGGCGAATTCATTTCCAGTATAAGATATATTTGATTTTAAAGATGACTATAAAAAGTGGTAGTGATTTTGCACAATGCAATAGGTTTCAGTTTTTCTAGTAATTCCTCAGTCACACCAACCAAACGGACACCATACATGTACCACCAAGAGACCAAACTAAACAAATATATATATATATTAGCCCAAAAGGAAAACAAATTGGTCAGTTTGGAGTCGGTGTGGAGTTAGTTTGCCAGTGTAACTGAGGTAAATGTATAGTAAAGTCTACTTTGCCTACAAACTGTGTTTAAACAAATGCAAACAGAGAAAAGACAAACTTGGGTACGTCTTACCGATTGGTTCTTTCCGGGTTTACTGGTTACTTTCAGTAATGAGCCTTCATAACCCTGCAATGAAAAAAAAAAGAAAATATATGATTCATTCAAAAGAACAAATGATTTGTAACGACTTGCAATAGAGTTTTGACACAAAATGATCCTTATCTCTGATTGGCTACCAAACAAAGTAGGAATTGAATTTAATTGAATTGATCTTTATTTCCTTCATCATAAAAACATCATAACAAACATATGAAATACAAAACATAGCGTACAAGTTAAAGAGAAACATAGAATACAACAACACAAATATATATGAATGTGGAGACCAATAAGACAGGGTACATTCTATTACAGTATCCTACCTGCAAGCAAAGCTTTTTTTCTATGTTGTGTTTGTTTTATCTTGGAATTATTACAAAATGGACTCTTTTTGGTACAAAAAATGTATTCAAAGATCAGATCTACATGAGAGTACCACCCCAAACAAACTTAATACATGTTATTATCTATGAGCTGATTTAAAATAGGTGGTCTATATTCCATACTGAAATTACATGAGGTTAACATGGAGGCAAAATGATCCATCTTCAAAGCCCTCCAACAATTAAGTGAAATTACATTCATATAGAGACAATCTTACAAAACAACCACTCATTCATTAAGGGTCTGGATGTGCATTTGTTCTACAGGAAAGATTAAGAAAGGAATTTTTTGTTTGTGAACCTTCATCTTTTAGCTAACATTATATACCATATTATATATTTCTCACTGCTTAACATAACATACAAAAATAGCTAAAGGAAACTGTTCAGTGTTCACTTTTTAAGATCACAGGGTCAGTGTTTATTTTTACTTTTTGATACTCTTTGTAACTTGGACTGAAAGTATATTTATAAATAAAGCATTTGGGGGTAATATTTTAGACTCCCATGTCATATCAACCTACTCCTCCTGTCAAAGTTCAGGTTGGATTCCCGAGCGGGAGCGGGTTATCGACATTGTAACTCTAACCCCATATCAGATACTTTCACCACCGATCGTCATCCGAAGACACAAAACTGTCAACAGATAAGAGATGATTGCAAGCTCCCATATCACAATCATCTCAGGGATTAGCTCATATCATGCTGTCAGTACTAGTGTCATGTTCAAGGGACTACTAGCTAGCTAGCTAGCCTCAGTAAAGATTGGACTGCCATGGCACCATGGAGGCATATTCTATTATTCTATGACCCATGCATATCCAGATCTTGGTATCATGAGGGGAAGATATCTCAGCTCACATGTGATCCATGTATATAGATACATATAGTTCAGTTCGAAAACCACTTTGGAAGGTCCTGGTTTGCATTAAAAAGGGGGTTTCTGTCCATTTTTTTTTTTTTTTTTTTTTTGGGGGGGGGGGGGGCAAGTCATTTAAGAATGTATTTATACATTATGCATTTTTCCATCGCAATCCTACAACTATTTAAACTGCTAACTACTAGGATAAAATGTGATTGCATATTTTTCTTGGTAGGAAATTTGTAAGGAGGGGCAAATTGCACCCCTCCCCCCCCCCCCCTTGCCCTTCCTCCAGATATACCAGCTGCCTGGGACTGGTGGTATTTTGATAACTCCATGCGCTCACACAACCAAACAGCATGCTATCATATATAAGGGCCTGATTGCCATAACATTAAAATGTTCTGAGTCTGTGGAGATGTGTATTTGAGGATGTGCTTTCCATCTATTCAGTGCTGCTGCTTTATCTAACACACATTGATTTAAAGTACCAAAATATCACTACATGTATAACTAATGCCAGAGTATACAAAGTTGCTAATTGGGATATGTTATCAAAGAAAATATATGTGACAGCACTAAAACTCCCTGATTATGATGCCTAAAAATTGACAGAAAACAACCTAATTCTATTTGATTTTTCTGGCAAATAAAGCATTTAATAGAATGACACAACCATCTTAAAAATAAATCTTTAAAATGTATTAATATTTTGATTATTTTTCATACTTCTTTTCTTCTGATTTTATACAATGTTTATTTCTGCATGAAAGAAGATTACTAATGATTGGTTTCAAGTATACGAAAGTATTTGTTCAAAAAAGACAATCGAAGAACAATTTTGTTTAATGAATTGTGACAACTTTCATATAATTGAAAAACAATGCTGTGGAATAGCATATTTGGAAGAAAACAGGTCACTTCTCAATAAGCCCTTTTTGTCTGAAACAGGGAAGAAAATAGGCAGGGAAAAAAATTCATCTATTTTAGTACATCGATCCCTTCCTCCCCCCTACTACATTCTTCCGGTTTTAAAACTACTGATGACCCAAAACGACTCCCTAGTTTTCCTCATTTCCTGAAGTTGAAGAGAAAGCGCTGTTGGGGAGGAATTCGATCCTCCTCGTATCTGAAACCTAAAATCCATCCCAGGGGTCTTTGTCATTCTATCTACTGGGTTCTGCTTGCTAATGACTGATGAATGTGTACAAATAACAAGGGGATTCAAATCCCTCTATGATGAGAAATGCTTTGTAACGCTATACCATGTTGTGTCTCGAGTAAACTTAAACATCAGAATGACTTTTAAATAAACAACTTTGCCTTGTACTTGAGTGGTTAGGTTCATGGTAAGCAGTCAACATGTATGGTAGATGCTTAGGCTGATAAATTCTTTTGAAGAAAGGAAAAATCTAAAACTTTAAGATGATCTTTACTAATCTTACTTATGATATTAAAAATCAATGTTTAAATATTCTAATCCTGATGATCGTACTATTACAAAAGCAATCTTTTCACTACTACAGTTAAGTAGAGAATGTAGACAATTGCCTTTTGAAAGAATATTAAATATAGAGGCTTGTTTTCAGTAGAGCAACCCAGCCTTCATTTTCTTAATCAAAAGAACATTATTGTTGGGGTTCCTTCCCTTGTAAGCTTTTAATAGAACTGACTTTTCTTTTGAGCAAAGATGGAAGTCAAACATAGAAACGTATTAGTGAAGCAATGATGCTTCAAAGAGTCTTGTTTCTTCAACTTGGTTGATTGCATCAGCCCAAGATCTCCCAAGACACATAGTTACCATGGTTACAAGTGAATTACTTGCAATCTAGCAGTTTTACCCTTGCAGTGTTGGTAGTGTTCAATCAATCACAAAGTGTTTGCATAATCATCACACTCTTGCATGAGTTGTTTGTGGCAAGGGCGGTTAAAATACTTTTTTCTTTCTCTCATGAATCTCTCCTTTTCCATACTTCATCCCCTTTTCAATTTTCTCTTCATCGTGCCTTATTCAAACACGAGTAGAGTTGTCTGCACTTTTTAAAGCATTATAGAGTAACATAAAAATAAATTCTGTGTATGTCTTAAAAAAATGAAACCCACATTTCACATCAAGATGCCATCTAGGTCTGATATTAGACACAAAGAAATTAATTGCATGTTCATTTGCTTCCTATGGCGTCGCTTTATAATGTTGAAAACAGGTGAAAAGCATAAATTCTCTTTCAACATTAAAAAGTGGTGAATAAATGTATGATAGCAATGATAATATTTCTTTTATTTCTTTTGATATTCACCTCCACTGGGTGCCGCAATCTGCTTTTATAAATGTATGCACCTCTTCCACTTTCCTCTAGCTCTCTCCATGCCATTTTCTGATACACTTACAACATTTGTTTTCTCTTTCTTCCTTTCTCCCTTTCTTTAGAATCCATTCTTTCTCTTTCTCGTCATATTGTTCAGAATGCGATTTTTCTCTATTGATCTGACCAATGGATGAGGGAGCTATACAGAGATGCGCTCCAGTTGCTAGGGATGCACATCAAAAGAGAGTGTTTTCTCCATCTTTTATCTCCTAATGCATCTTGGCCATTAGGGATGCCAGCAAGAACTCCCTCCTTCTAATCTGGATAAAAGTATCAACACTTTGGTCTTTCACGCCTGCATCACACTCTGGGTAAATTGCAGGTTCTCATCAGTTGGAGCAACACACATCCTGACTGGACTTTCAAGAATGCACTACAAATCTTAGTGGCATGCATGCAAAGCTTTAGTGCATCCATAGCCCATCACTACCTCTAAGGTTATGGAACCGTTTCGGTGCATTACATCACTGGCTGCGCCGGGATGCGATGCGAACTTGGTGTTTGCACAAGTATAAAATTCATTCAGCAAATAGATTAAACCTAGATTTGAATCGCTTCCTTATCTCCAGAGTCACATGCATATGCTTGCAAATGTCTGAGAATTTGACTAGGGTGAAGAGCAAAAAAGTGAACATTCCAAAAGATTGTCCATTCTTTATTTGGTAGTGTCTCAATGGGGAAGTGACATCAAAGGATTTGGCGTATAAAGGAATGTCTTTCAATATTGAGTTACCACAGGTGAAAGGAAATGCACTTCTTCGCTGTGGATACATTTTTGTAAAACAATCATTTTACTCCTTGAGTTGCCTCTCAGTATGCAAACATACACTGCAAATAAAGTTTTATGATGCAAGAATTATTTTAATTAATTAAATTTAATTATATTAATAATTGTGCTTATTACATCTTCAATGTCTCTATGTGCTTAAAAAAAATATTAATTCATGTATACATTTTTTTCTTCATGATCTATTAACCCTATTTTCAATTCAAGAATACAGCCTTTTTTCCCTAAAATTATTGGATGTAATATAAATTTGTGTTAGCTTAAACTAATTTGGAACTTCAGGGTTAACTGAAAATGAATGTTGCTGCTTAGAAATTAGCCATGTTCCTATATTCAGCTTCCTTATTCTCTTCCTCACTAGTATCTCAAGGAGATATGAATACCTTACCTTGTTAACGCTAAAACGCTGAAAACTAAGTTTTGACTTGACTTATGAATGGGTTTTATGGCACCAGAATCTGAAGGCAGTAGTCAGTCAAGATGGATTTACAATCATTTAATTTTAAAATGAAATGAAAAATGTACCTGATAGGCTCTGAACAAGAGGTAGAGTTCCCTAGGCTTGGCATCCATAGGTAGGCCGCTAACAAATAGGGTCCGCACCTGCAATAAGATGAAACAAGAAAGGAGAACGAATTAATGTACATGATTATTATGATGTCCATTACGGCAAAAGGATGCAATCAAGAGAGAGAATGAGAAGGAGAGAGAGAAGGAGAGAGAGAAGGAGAGAGAGCAGAGACTAGACAGAGAGACAGAAATGAGGGAGGGGAGGAGACAGGGAGGGGAGAAGACAGAGAGGAGAGGAAATGGAGAGAGGAAATGGAGAGAGGAAATGGAGAAAGGAAAAAAGACTAGAGAAGAGAAAATTATTTTGTGGGAAGATATCAAAATAGTGAGGTTAAGTAAGAAAAAATAGAAGAAAACAATGGCGAGGTTTAACACACAATCTTAGATGATATCTATAAAAAATAGCTCTTTTTGGATTTGAATAAAATATTCGAAAAATACAGACTAAAAATACACAAACTAGCTATTTAAAGAAGGACTGTGTATTTTTTGGACAAAGAGAAATCAAATGAATTGAAGCAGTCTTCAAACCCCAAAAATCTTGAGGCCAGGGTGGTTTTTTTCATCTATGGATGACTATCCTAGACTATTCAATTATTAATGTGTAAGGAAATCACACTTGCACTAATTTGATTTCTCTCTTCTCCCTCGAGTGTATATATCCAAAGATATACTACCAATTTAATTACATTTTCTACATCACTGTTGATATATAGGGCACTTTGAGATGATGTTTTTCCACAATGTAATTCAAGCAACCATGCATGCATAAGAATATTGTATTACCGCTTCAATGGCAAGTACCACGGTTGATTTATAAAGTGATAATTTCTTATTATGAGAGGGAATATGAAAAATAAACCTTCAAAACAGTGTTTTAAAGATGTCATCTGAACTCATGATCAACCTTGCATTAGTTTTTTTCTTCATTCTAGATTTGTTTCTTTTCCAAATGCAAGCAACGATCCTCCTTTGATAAGTATAAATAACACATCTTTATTTTTCCACACAATAATAACAGAGATGTACCCTGTACCCTGTTTTCTGTTTTCCATAGCATTTATCTTCTCATGAAATGGGAGTCCTTTGAATATCACTGTAATTCAAGCCTGAATGTTGATGACCAACATACTCGGCTTCAAATATTTTATCATCCTATCATCAAGTTCACTCGATACCTCCATGTCAAACAAAAAGCAATTTGCTTCTTGAATGAAACGTGAGACGACAGTAAACTTGAAAAATGATATGTCTTGTGATTCTTCGCTTGCCTGACTTTTTCTGAGCACGAATGTTGAGTCACGTTTCTTGTAACGACTGTCAGAGTAGAAATTTGATTGGTAATTCAACAGATCAAACGTGAAACCAATTATTATATTAATTACATAAGAAATGAAATCTAGATCAACTTTCAAGACTGTTCATCATCTATCTTAAAAATGATCATAAATACTGACTGTATACATGTCTCTACTTAGTTCCACTTATCATAATGCCTGACCAATGCCTTAGAATAAATGATCAATGCCATAATTTCAATTCAAATTGTACCTGTGGTCAACTAACCAAGCTTTTACAATGTGAAAACGGTGGGAAAAGTTCTACCCCTCTCAACAAAACTGTTCTGCATTTAGATTCATAAAGGCACTAACTTATATGATTATACATGGAATCAACACCCTTTTGGCTTTAAGCAGAATTTTCTTTTCATCTTTGTAGATATATTTATTATTGACTCTCTTGGAATCCAAGGAACTTTTAAAATCATTTATGGTCAATCAGAAGGGTATAACTGATGTAGGTCTACCGGTACTAGAATCAATGCTCATCTGGATCTCAGAAGATAGTATCTTTATCTAAGACAGAATCAAGAGACCTTATTATTTGACCAAGAGTCAGACGGCCATTAGCTCATATGCACTGCATTTCTACATCAAATGACCGCCCTTCTGGACCTCAAAAGACATTGTCTTGAGATAAAAGCTCTTGTTTGGGGCTTGGCATAGGCTTCTTTGGAAGCTTCATTCATACAGGATTGATTCATCTGCCCTGGTAAAAAGTACACCCCTAGCTCTCCACCCTTGTTCCATAATATTGATTTTGTTCTCTACATAAAAGCCTAGAGGTATTCAAATTACCTGGTCGATATATGGAAAATAGATTTACCCAAGGAGCACCAATCTATCCAGTCTTTTGTAGACAAGACGAATCATAGAGAATGGGAACAGTCTTCAGATACTTTTCCCCATGTGATTCTTTTTGTGGGACGTCATTAATGATACATAATGTGGGCAAATAACCTAACTTACAACTGATCTGGAAGTTGTTATAATCAATAAACTCCATCGACACACCTAGATCTTATAGGCCCTACACAGGCTTATTGTCTATGTTAGCTAAGCTTTGCTGAATTAAACTACACAGACCAGTAACTCTATGCATCAATAATATATGTTACAGCTGCAAAGTGGTAATTCTAATTACAAAGTTTCTTATTATTATATGGTGATTAAGGTGACACTGTACTTCATTGCAAGACACCTGCTGTTGTACAAAAACATTTTGGGCCTTCAAGTATCATTAATAATTCAGAGCAATTATTTTCATCCATCAACTGCACAAGTTTTTATCAGTTGGCTACATATAGTATCCATATCAATAGGTATACGTTCAAATTTTTGTTGTTGAAATGTCCATATAAAATTGAAATTGTTAAGTCATTTTGTTTCTACCTGCAAACAAAAACATTCCACCAATAATTTGTAATCACATAATAAGGCTACATTACTAAATATACCACAACCTTTTTACATTAACAACATAATTTTCTACAAATAAATGCCACTTGTAGCACATGCACAAGACAACAATCTGTCACTAGAACCCTCATATGAAACCAGAACCTCTTCTTCTGTGTAACTAGCAATTGATATGAATTTCAATATCAAAACAAACGATTTTGACCGCATGTAAGACTTTATATGTATACAAATGATCTTCTTTGCTCTCTTCTCCTTGCTTGGTGGACCTATATACCATGGAGTATCATCCCAACCATCTTGATGGAGAAGGGAAGGTTTCTTGCACCCCTAGACCGCATGCTGCCTGACTGCCTTCATGCTTGCCTTTGAATAATGCATTGAAAATAGTGTCATACCAGACACTTTAAGTAAACATCGCAAGGCCTGACATTTTGAATGATTGATTTTATGGGATGTTTGGAAATGCTTGTTTTCAAAGGTTGCGCTTTTTATTTTCGCAAATTTAGATAGCCTAATGATCTATATGAGAACGAGGAGTTGATGAATTCATTTCCATATGAATCCATTGTTATCAGGAAGATTATTGCACATATACTATAAATAACATCTTCTTCTGTCTTTGTATATATATACAGATGCAGAAATTATATCCAAATTAAATGATTGATTATTGAATAACTATCAATATTGACTTCACCAATACATTGAATTTTGTTTAAATAGAAATATTGCACCATTTTAATGCTGTGAATCATCACCACCACCATCATCATCATCATCATCATCATCATCATCATCCTCCTCATCATCATCACTATGCTCATCATCCCATAGAATATTTGCACATTTGGTGAGCAATTTCAAAAATTTGGAGATCATTTATGCATAGCCCATCCACAGTTAGTATGATTATACAATGATGTGACTAAACGATCAAAAAAGACAAATGTACTCTGTCAAAATTCAACTTGTCAAATAATTATGTTAGTTCTTACGATGAAAATGTCATTCAGATAGTCTGTAGTAATTGAATTGATTAATACAAACATTTTTATTACCCTTTAAAAAATTATATCGGTATACAATGTCACGTTAGTGTTTCAAATTGCTATATTTCCTCCCTTAAAAGTAATTTTAAGTAATTTTCAAATACTTAAAGAACTACCAAACTTGGAAAACATATGAATAGTTTAGTTGTTGACTGTATACCCTTGGCATTCTCTTCTGCCTAATATCTTGAAAACATTTCAAAAAATGTACAGGTAAATATGTCTGACAAGGATTTACACAGAATCACTTTGTGAATTATCTAGTGACCCATACTAATACAAGTCAGATGATACCCAATCATACAATCTAATGGCCATTAGCAGTGCAGAGAAATGAACTTGATAAGCCAAACAACCTCTGATGACCCCTGATCAAGGAGGGTGGTTTGGACAAGGATGTGGAGAGGTTTCATGACCAGAAAACCACATTCACCATGAACCAAAACAGAAATGATTTCTTGTTTGATTGAATCCACAGTCCCAAAAATCCACCTGCTATGTTCACAGGCAGTATACAACAAAAAAAATACAAAGGCAGAACATGGACACAAAAAATTGATTTCCACCTAAAATTGCGAGGAACCGCTTTGAAAGGGGTTCGTGCAGATGACTATGCTTTCCTTTGATCCCCCTTTCCATTCACTGACCTCATCAATTATTCATCTGACCCTTTCAGGCAGTAGACTTATGAATTATTCATTAGGACCCTCCCCCACAAGATACAACATTGTAAATTCATCAGCAAAATCATGTAAGCACATGCTCCTCTTAGTATTTTGTAGAATACGTCATTAGAAATATTTGCAAATGTGTCATTTGTGTATTTTTGCAGCAGAGAATCCTACATAATTAGAGATAAGAGATCAGACAGTCGAAAAAGAAAAGAAAATATTTTTGTAAAAAAGCAAGATAGATGAAGCCATAAGGGAAGGGAGTGTAGAGATTGCAACGTGATGACCTATATTGATATGTAGACAAACATCATAATGCCACTAGACAACTTCTAAACGAGATCTCATTGGTACAATTGACTATGGAGTAAATGTGAAAGTGGGTAAATTGTACATAAACCTATATTTAAAAGAAATCATGTTTCACCATTTCAGGGGAAATGATACATCATGTAGAGAACTAACAGAGTAATTTGCAGACTTTGTGTTTTCTCTTTATTGCTTAAAATGCACTTAGAAAAATGTCACAATGAAACAAAATTTTCCTTCTTGGGATATTACTATCAGTGTTCAGCATTTC